AACACGTGAAACATTTTCAGTTAGCATGCAAGGCTCAGAAGAAAACCTCTCAACATCTAAAACAAGATAGGGTGGAAACTATTATTTGTACCACCACCCAATCCCTCTCCATTTCTCCCCAAAACTTGAAGTGTCTTGAGTTAAAAGGTTATAACCTTTTTTTTCTTCCATTTTTTGGTTAAGTCATCTTTAGTGCTGATAACAGGCTAACTCACCAGGCTTTTTAAATTCCTATTTAGTTTAACGATCGTTTTATTCATTTTATATGGTACTCAATAGCCATCTTCAATCATCCAACTGCCCTAATGACTCTGGAAGAGTTCAGGGAGGTTAATGCAGATGCCCATACTCCATTTGTTTGAATCATTGGGTTATGTTTTGAAATTTTAGTTTCAAACATTATATACCACAGGGGCTGGTTACAAGGTTGAAATGCAACAAGTCATTGTAAGTGCTTAGCAGGATGTCTGCCACCTCATAAACGCTAGGTCTCCTCAGCGAACAGCTATTTATTTGTTGCATTTCATGTTGAGCATCAAGGGCTACATTAGGCACTTGATACAGTGGCTCATGAAATCAAACCTGATCCCAGCTTCCATGGATCTTGCAAACTAATTCTCAATAAATTCCTACTGTTATTATTTCAAGATGCTAAGAATGGGAACAATCCATCCACTCCTCAAAATAATGTGGAACAGCAAGAATTTGAAAACTCTTACTTGAGCATGCTGATTCCCAAATGGCAGGTAGTTATACGTTATGAAAAGAAATAACATACCACCACAGGGCTAGATAATATCCTGTCTTTGATTAAACTTGAAATAAGAATTATGGGTTAGTAGATACAGTATGAGAAGACCAGGAAATCTCACAAGTACCCTGAACTTCCCTCTAGGATTTACTGTCCCTCTCTGGGTTTCGGTTTGTGTTCATGTAGGCAGCTAAATAGACAGAAACAGGAACAAGACTCCAAGAGTCTATTCCCCTTCCCAGAGGCAGAATCACAAAACCCTAATGAGCTCACCCCTGGTCCAATGATTAAGAACACAAGCCTCATATAAAAGTCATACAATGTGCTCTGAGTGTGTAATATTCTCTATATAACTTTTCACTTTGGGCACTAAACAGGAAAGGGCAAAAATAAATACACAGGTGCCTGTCTTCACCTCCTCAAAAGCATAGTTACACGACCTCCCACATCCTGGCAGCCACTGAGCGGTTATCCGATCATTTAGGGAGGAGCCATAAGGAGAAGGCCTCCTTTTCCAGCCACTTAGCAACTTCATTTTGTTAAGATGATAGAATCTCCAAACCCTGACAACTACTTCAGGCAATCAGCCCTAATGCACGCACTTTGAGGTGTACCATCACTTTGCCAGAAAATCATTCCTGCACAGCCCAGCCTGTTACAGCCTTGAGTAGTAACTGAAACTAACCTGATCCTTCCACTGAAACAATTGTGTCAGAGAGTAGACAACAGCCAGCCCAGGACAATGAATGCTTCCTGAAAGAAAGGGAACAAATAAGCTGTTATCTCCAGCTTCTGTCTAGAAGCAATTCATGAAGAGGAACTATAACCTTATCCAGAGTATAAGGATATTGTAGAACTGAAGACAGAAACATCAAAAGTAAATGGGTTCAGGCTGGGAACGTGGCTTAGTGGTAAGAGTGCTTGGCTAGCATGCATTGAAGCCCTGGGTTCAATTCCTCAGTACCACATAAACAGAAAAAAAAAAAAAAAAAAAAAAAAAAGCCTGAAGTAGCACTGTGGCTCAAGTGGTAGAGTGCTAGCTTTGAGCCAAAGAAGCTCAGAGACAGTATCCAGCCCTGAGTTCAAGCCCCATGACAAGAAAAAAAAAAAAAAAAAAGTAAATGGGGTCAAAGCACCTGAAATTCACAGTGCCGAGTACCGAGGGAAGGGACTGTGCAGGAGAAGCAGCCAGAAAGCTCTGCTGGGGTCAACTTACATCTACGGCTCTAGACTAAGCAATATATTCCCAGCATGAAACCCCACTGGCCAGAAAAGGAAGCGTTAACAGGAACCTACCGGATGAAAAACTACAACATTTTTTACAAGGCTGGAAGATATTAAAGATGTAAACAACTACAGTCAGATCAACTCACAGGCAATCCCCATGCCTAAATGCCTGGGCTATACCAGGTTTAGAAAGCATCCCATAATCAACGGGTCAGATGAACTAGGAAACTGAACACACAATTGTGTCTGAAGACATTTTGTTTTCTTCTGTTTAACTGGGGAGGGGGAGTAATTAAGAGAGCATGACAAGCCACCCTAAATTCACAATGCCCCTGACTCCCAAGTAGCTAGCTGGGTTTGCAGGAACAGGCTACCATGCCTAGCTTTGTATCTGAAGACTTTACTACTTCTCAATTAGCAATTGGTAGAAGAATTGACAGAAAACAATTAAGTGCATAAAAGTCTTACAACGGTTTTAAAGATTATAGTCAATCACTGAAGGGAAATTATTTTCAAGGTACAATAAATTGTTGAACTAAAACCCCATTGGACAATTACTTAAAGATAATAAAAAATAGAAAAAAGATAAACCAGATCATATTAGTACACTTCAAATAGTTGAAATGAACATAGCATATTCTCTAATGACAACGCTGATCAAAATGCACTGTATTCATAAACTGACATATTGAATGGAAACCCCTTTGTACTATTGAAAAATAATTTTAAAATAAATTTTCAAAAAGTAAAATGAATTTTCAAGGATATAGGATTGCAGGTCAATATATAAAAATTGACAATATTTCCATGTATGAGCAAACAAGTAACTGAAAAAGCCAATGACACAAAATTTAAAATTACATTAACAACAAAATATTTAAGGATAAATTAATAAATGTCTAAAACTATAAATTATATCCTAAATGCATTGAGACATACTGCTCATAGACTGAAGGGTCCATATATTTTAGCCGCCGATTTTCCCCAAATGGATTTATGGTTTAAACACACATAAAATCAAAATTCCATCTGGTTTCTTGCAGATATAGAGAAAATTACATGGAATATATTAAGTACTCTTTATAGTGAAATCAATGAAAAGATAATACAATTTTTCAAGGAGAAAAATATTTAGACAAGTATTTCATAAGATAAAAATGTATGACTGGACAATAAGTCCCTTGAAAGATATTCAACACCCTCTAGTCACTGGAGAAATGTACATATTATACACCACAACAAAGGATTAAAATTTTTTTAATGAAATGAACTCCTGGAAAGAATATAGAATAAGCTAGACACTGGGAGCTCACACCTGTAATCCTAGCTAGTCAGGCTGAGAACTGAGCATCGTGGTTTGTAGCCATCCCTGGAAGAAAAAAAACATTAATACTCTTACCTTATCTCCAATTAACCAAAAAAAAAAAAATGGAAGTCAAGCTGTGGCTCAAGCGGAGTGGTAAAGTGCCAGCCTTGCTATGTGACAGTGTTCAGGCCCTGAGTTCAAGCCCCATAGGTGGGACATACACTCATGTGTATGCACATGCACGCACACACACACACACACACACACACACACACAGTATAATTAAAATTCTCAAAAATTCCTGATGGGAGTACAAAGTTATACAATCACTTTGGAAACTGTTTGGTGGTTTCTTATAAAGTTAAACATATATTTAACCTAAGAAAAAATAAAAACATATAGCCACACAAAATATAAATGCTGATAGCAGTCTTATTTGCAATGCTGAAAACTGAGAGAAGGAAAGATCAAGGTAGTGTCTCTACACTATCAATTTTCAGTAATAAGAAGAAGCAACCTAACAACATAGACAAATTTCAAAAGCATGATGCTGACTGAAAGAACCATTCACAAAAATAAGGAGAAAATTATAATACCTTTTTTATTTGCGAGAAAAGACAATCCATAGTAACAGAAATCATATCAATGATTTTTTTTGGAGTGATAAAAAAGTCATGAGCTTGACTGGAGAGTTGTTTACATAGGTATAACTATTTATCAAAACTCACTGAATTAGCCAGGCACTGGTGGCTCACGCCTGTAATCCTAGCTACTCAGGGGGCTGAGATCTGAGGACTGCGGTTCGAAGCCAGCCCGGGCAGGAAAGTCCATGAGACTCTTATCTCCAGTAAACCACTAGAAAACTGGAAGTGGTGCTGTGGCTCAAGTGGTAGAGTGCTCACCTTGAGCTGAAGAGCTGAGGGACAGCTCCCAGGCCCAGAGTTCAAGCCCCGCTTAAAATGGGAACCTTATACTGTGTATAAAAATTAAACCTATATGTTAGTTTTCAAAAATATTTAGATATAAACTTGAAATCACGACCTTAATTTTTGAATTTTCTTTGTAATATGATTTATTCTAGTCATTAGCTTGTCTTAAAAAATAATGCAAAATTGTATTTGAGCTTAGCCTATGTTAGACTATTATAAATTCCTGAGCAGTAGAATTAGTTCAATGGGTAATTCATTCCTTAAAAAAAAAGTTCTACAATTTACTTCACCCACATGAATAATTGAGTTGCTACTAAGAACTACATTAGTGCTTAGATATAAATCATTACTAATGAGAAACAGGCTCACCCATATTTATATATAAACACACTGAGAAGCATAGTAAATGCATCTCATCATACAAAGCTGTAGGAAATGATCCATTTCGGTGAGCTAATAAAAATATGTGTTCTCTGCTTTCTCCATGTAAGGAGATGAAAACATTCATTAGCGTTTCACCTGTGGTAGACATGAGGATAAACTACAAAAGACACAGTCAAATGACATATAGACAGGCTGCTACAACCATCTCTAGACCCACTCAGAGCACTAGCTTGAGCTGGGTATCTTTCTCTCCAGTCATCTGAGAAAACGTTCTCAGAGAATTAGAAAAGTTACAAGATTCAGAGTTGGAATTCAAAGAATGAGAGAATGCAAATGGACCCATTTAATCTGCTAATATTTATTATTTCAGAAATAGCTTTAGTTTATTAATGAGATCTTTTTAAAATCATCCCACTCATCATATTCTGCAATTCCAAAGTATCTCCTTTCCAAAGAAGACAGAGAAAGAAGTACTTCTGGGAGTGACGACCGCATGCTCAAGTGGCCTTCAGCTTCTTTCACAGAGCGTCATCTTATGATGATCAGCATACTTGTACATATGATTGGCACTCCAATATATCTCCGTGGTTACAGAGTCCTGGCCATCTGGATGATCACTTGAAAATGAGATGAAGAGAGCTGCCTCAGTATCAGCACCAAGGCTTCATGATCTGAACCATCAGAAAATGCCGAAGATTTGCTTACATTCCTGTTGGAATTATTTCTAATAAAAAATTTTCACCAGATCAAGCAAAAATTTGTATCTCTCTCCCCACTTAGTCTCCATCAGTTTAGCCTCAAAGGGCTTACACGTTGGTCCACCGAAACAATGATTAGCTCTGGAACCAAAATCAAAAAGAAGAAAATCCAAAATCCAAATCATGCTCTGTATGAACTAATGTTCAGCTTCCACATGAAAGTTGTCAAACTGTGCAAATTCAAAGGAGTGAGTTCCAATCGCTGCCCAGCCATTCCTTGGGTAATGTACCGGGACATTTTTCCACAAAAATTGGCCATTCAACATGCCAGAGGAAAGAGGACCCTGGAATAGAGAGAATGACGGCCCTTGAAAACACATGGACAGAATCCCCTCAAGTCTGTGTCATGATCATGTAGCCTGTCTTAGTCTCACTCTAGACTTAGTACTACAAAACATAGTTCCTCATATTTGAGCAAAAATCTCAAATACAGGAAAATATTTCTAGGACTGTGTGAACAGTTCCTGATCCTCCAACAAAATGTAAAGACAACAAAAGAATAATACTTTCTATAACATTATTATAAGGTTTTAGACACTAAGGTTTGGTGAATATGAAATTAAAATTTTCTTTTTTTGGCGGGGGGTCCAGTCGTGGGGCCTGAACTCTGGGCCTGGGCGCTCTCCCTCAGCTCTTCAGCTCAAGGCTAGCACTCTACCACTTGAGCCACAGCACCACTTCTGGCTTTTTTCTTTTTTTTTTTTTTTGCTTATGTGGTGCTGAGGAATCAAACCCAGGGTGTCATGCATGAGCCACCTTCCCAGCCCCTAAAATTTTCTTTACTGTAGGTGCACATACAGCCTTGTGAGAAACAAGCAGCACCTCTTCAGATACGGCGTTGCCTGAGCCCAAACATCTGCCACTATCTCACTATTTAAGGCCTTCATTTTCTCTGCCCAGGCAGGAGGGAAACCTTAACTTCTAGCCTTAGTTTATAGAGAATATCACTATAAAAGCATATGCAAGCCAGGAGCCAGTGGCTCATGCCTGTAATCCAACTACTCAGGAGGCTGAGATCTGAGGATCATGGTTTGTTCAAAGCCAGCCCGGGCAGGAAAGTCCATGAGACTCTTACCTCCAATAAATCACCAGAAAACCAGAAGTGGTGCTGTGGCTCAAGCCATAAAGTGCTTGCCTTGAGCTGAAGAGCTCAGGGATAGTGCCCAAGCCCAGAGTTCAAGCCCCATGACCAGAAAAAAAAAATTAACATATATATATATGCAAATATATAAGCAACTCCTTTTCTTACCTGAGAATCATAGTAATCACTGGCTAAGCTGATGATAGGGTAGAGAAATGGGATAGAAAAAGGGAAGTATCCAGTGTGCTTTACTGGTCACTGACAGAGAAAGAAAAAATTATGTCTTCCTCAGAAGGTTGCTCAGTGCTTGGCACACAGTGAACAACAGATACTGTCTCTTACTACCATTATTCTAGAGCACTAAACTCAATGCATACCCTCACAGCTAAGCATGGGAAAGTAACTACTCTCAAAAGGTGAAGTGCTGATAAATAAAAGCCTTACGCCAAAAACAAAAATAAATTGTTTTTTTCTTAAAATTATAATCCAACAAGCCATAGTTTGGCTGTCATTTTATGAATGAAGACACTGAGGTTTAATAAAATTAAAACCTAAAGTCACATATCTACCAGCAAAGCTAGGAATGGAATCCAAGACATCCAATTCCAACAATAGCCACAGTCTTAGTATGAACCACTACCTTCAGTTCTACAAATGCATTCTAAGATCTACTGCTACTTTTAGGATAGTGAATTAACACAGACTAAATACTAAGCTTAACAGTGGCTAACCTCCTCCTAACCCCCTTACTTGCTCCGGCCATCCTGCCTTACCCAACTGCTCGCTATCCCAGACCAGCCCTGTTTGCCCTTAGCACCAGCTGTGTGGTCTACTCTTGTTGTTCTAGCCATTCAGATCTAAGCTCAAACACCATCCTGACCACCACCACCCCCACCCCAGTTACAAAATAAAGAGTAGAGGAGTTACCCCATTTGTACTCAATTACTGCCTTAGAACAAGGATCCGCAAACTCTAGCCCTGAGGTCAGATACATTTTTTAAAGTAAAATTTTATCAAAATATAGGCACATCCGTTCATTTACTTCTTGTCTATCTCCAGACTGGATAACTGGAGAAAGACACTGACAGCATATAGCATAAAGCTAAGCCACAAGGACAAAACAGAATATATACAGATGATAGAACAATCATTAGTCTGGCTGAGTGGTAGGATGGGTGTAAGTCTTCCACATCACGATCTATCTTGATATTCTAATGTCTAAAGGAAATTATATATATGAAAAGACTATCAGAAGAAACAACTAACACAGGTGCAGCTGTAGCAAACACACAGCGCACAGAGTGGAATGAATATATGTGGTTTCAAGTGCTGATAGAAGCAATGGGTAAAAATAAAGCAACTGAAAAGAGGCAGAGTCAACTGTTTGTTACTATGTGGGTTTACTCTGTAAATAGTTTCATCCTATGACAGCAGATGTTTTTCTGGTTCCTTTACTCTTCATTATTTATCTTACTTTCCTCCATTTATTTTATTAACTGAAAACCCTAGAAAGTTAAAAGAATATTTTACCTCTAGGCATTCTGGTTAGGAATACTTGCCTTAATTATTAAGGTGAGTGTATACCATTCTTGTGCTCTAATTTCAGCATGTCCTGAAGTATACATCATCCACCCAGCTGTAACACACACACACATGAAAAAAATTAGCCTAATGGACACATTAAGATTTAATTCACAGAGCCAGGCACTGTGCTCACATCTGTAATCCTTGCTACTCAGGAGGCTGAGATCTGAAGATCTCGATTTGAAACCAGCCCAGGTATTAAAGTCCGTGAAACTTTTATCTTCAATTAACTACAAAGGAGCTGGAAGTGGAGCTGCGCTAGCCTTGAGCAAAAGAAGTCCAGGGACAGCTCCCAGACCCTCAGTTCAAGCACTAGGACCAGAACAAAAACAAAAAACAAAACCCAGAATCAGAGACTCCTATAATCACAAAATCAAAGGTTCCCAGCTGGCCAGTCTTCATAAACATCTAAACCCCTTCATTTTACAACCGATTTAACACAAAATATCCCTTCTTCTGTCATACATTCAATAAGCACTTATTGAGATTCTATTCAAGCCATAAACTATAGGTAAGCTCACAAAAGAATTAGTAAAATTAAACTGAGAAACAACCACAATACAAAGAGTTACACACACCATTTAGATAGACATTTGTACTTGAAAGGACTGAATACAGAGAACAGAAGTAGTCCCAAACTCCAATCAGATTTCTAGCTAGTAGAATTACTTACATGTTAACAGCACTAACTTAGAATTACAGGGAGAAAAGAGTAAGTTAAACTTATTACATTTGAATGCCTAAGTAAACCTAGAACTTGAGGACATTAGATGAAGATTTAGTTCCTAGTTGCAATGGTTCCAATTAACTAGTTTTTGAGACTTGGGGCAAATCAATTAACATCTGTGGCTTTCTGTATAGTTTAGAAAATCCATGAAGAACTTCCAGATTAGATATGTTATAATAAGTCCTTATACCAATGTCTTTACCACCCACTCCTTTATTTATAGAGCCAAGGTAAAAAACAGAAAGCTATAAAAGACATGTTAATCAACTCAGGAGGAAAGTCAAGAAACAAAACCAAGAAAGGTCAACATCACAAAGGTCTAATGTCAATAAAGCAGATGTATGAACTGTATAAAGTTCAACACCCAACTTATTCTAAGCCCCTATTCTTCCAAGTATTATTCTACATAGGACAAGCATAGTTAAGATCAATGAGAAAAGTAAAGATGTTTCCAAGTGTTAAGTAAATTAGGAAACAGAATTCCTCCACTTTAAGTAGATCAATCCCATCCCTAATTTCCATAAACCCAACAGCAGCATTCTTAAAATCTCTGTATCACTTCCTCCTATTACTACTTCACCCCAGCCTACACAAATCTGACCCTCACAGTTCAGCCCATCCCCACAATACCCTAAGCAGCCTTGCATAACTACATTCTCAGCAGTGAGCTGCCCACCTCCATACAAATTAAGTAACTGTTATTATGAATTGTTTGCTATGTGCTGCCATGAGTTAAATCTAACCAATCAGATGCACAGCATCTTGGGGTGGGGGGATCTTTATTGCGTCCATAAATAACAAGTGGATGCTCAAATAAAATACCACCAAGTAAGTCACGTAAAAAAATGTCACTTACCTAGATCAGCTGTAAGTCTGTAAAATCCACTTGCAAAAATCCAGAAGAAAACTCCTGTGGCACTTCTGACCAAAATACCACCTTTGTTTACTCTTCCTGCAATGAATACACCTCCCTTCTCTGGAGTCTCTATGTAAACATCACACTCAATAGTGAGATTGGTCCTGCAGAATAAAACAGTTGACTAGTATTCTTAAATTATGCCATTCTGATATAGCACAAATAGGTTATTTCATAATGGATGGTTTTAATCTTGTAATGAGAGGAGAAAATGACTTACTAAGTCTGAGCTTGTAGCATGGATAGGCTTGAAAAATCTTTTAAACTTTAAATATGCAAATCATGCCTTTTATTGCTAGTTAAATGGGGAGTGGATATTATTTTTTGCTTTCTATAATAAAACTCATTATCCAAATTTTGAGAAGCTACTTTTTTCTCTTAACACTATAAAGATAAAATTTTCCACATAATTCTGAACAAAAGACAAATGAAGAAAGGAAGTAGGTAGACTGTAGTCATAAAATTAAATGCACACCATATAAAAATTTAGGAAATTGAGGGGAAGGGTAGGATTGGGAGGGAGGAGGGAGAATGTTGAAAGAGGTTATGTCATTCAAGACGCATTGTATTCATTAACATTTTGTCAAATAGTAACTCCTTTGTACAACTACTTAAATAAAAATATCATTTTTAAAAAAGACTTATTCACTTCCATCATCAAGGAGAATCAATGAAGGAAATGGGAGAAGCCTCAGGGAGAACATAAACAATTTCAAAGCCAGTTTTTAAATTTAAATCTATCAAGATTTAACAACACCTTCAAAGGCAGTCACCTCTGTGCTAACTGCTACAGGGCTTCTCAAATTGGAGCAGCTTTAGAGGGCTGGTTAAACTTAAGCTGATGGCCCCATCCCCTCGGCGTCTGATTAAGTCTTGGGTAGACTCTTTGGAAGTACTCAAGTAAGAATTGTCCAGGTGATGCTAATGCTACTGGTTCAGGAATCCCACTTTCTGAACCATTGTACCCTACAGAGCATCTATCTAAACAGAGGAACAAAACCTTGGTTCTAAGAGCCTGGATCCATTAAGAGGATATTAAAGGAGAGGAAAGATTCAGCTAGCCAGGAACTATAGTTTTTACAATGAGTTCTCTTGCAGGTTTCCTTTTCAGCATGCTAGGAAACACAACACTTTCCCTTTCAGAGACAATACAATCATCCCAACCAACATGACATTTTTTTAATTCACTTGCTATTCAATGTCTAACAGCAAATGGTGGGGGAAGGCATACAACCAAGCAGTAAAATAAGTGATCTATCTAAATAATGGGGCCCATGCTTTGGACATTTAAACCTAGTCACCTGTCTTACAAAACAAATGAAGAAGACAAACTCTACCACCACTCTCAAAAAATCCAGATGTAGTGTCTACCTCAGCGACAATTTAAAAAATAGTGTTTGTATTGTTCAAAAAAACAAGCCACCAAGGTCATTCGTCCAAATTGGGGAAGAAATCTTCATTATATATCAGTAACTCTTAAGGACACCATGTACTATAAAGGTTCCATAGACTCTGGAGAACAAAATTCTTAAGACTTATGTCAGAGCTCAGGACTAGAATCACAATTTATAACCATGGTTGAGGAATACAAAGGATTTTCTGCAGATTTTCTGCAGCCTACAGCTAAACAATTCAAGGATTTTTCAGATTTATCTCTTCTTTCCTGTCTAATTTTCACACTTTGGATATACTGCTGTGTGTGTGTTTGTGTGTGTGTTTCTACAGTAGAATTATACTTGTAATAGGAATATTCTGAAAATAACTAGGTATAATAAGCCAGCACACTGAACTACAGTACTAGAGAAGATAAAGTTGGTAATTTTATTTTCTACAAGTTAAGACCATGTAATTCTACTACTGATCCAGCAGGTGGAAACATGAGATTAGTAAATTTAAAAAAAACACTCAAAATCTCAAAAGCTGTAAATCAACATTAAATTTTAATTAGGTCCCAAAGCCCTCAATTTTTATACTAAAATAAAACCTCCCTACAAGAGTCACTATTAAATTAGGCTAATTTGAAGGAAGGACACAGATACACACACACACACACACACACACACACACACACACACACAAATTGATGATTTGTACTCATCATGATATTTAATAATTACATACCTATTGGGTTCTTGGCAAAAGGAAAACAGTTGAAAACACCTCATTTCAGAATGTACCCAACATTACAAGGTTATTTCATCCAGATCTTACATACCATTGGTAATCTCCTATAATGCTGATTGGACTGAAAGCATCAGCAGCCCAAGTAATCGGGCGTTGATTGAGAACTTGTCGTAGAGTGAACTGATGCTCTCCTGGGTCTTCAGTGTTCATGTAGTATTCAAATATACCCGTCTGATCAGCAAAAAATGGAGCTTCACTAAAAAATGGGTACTCTGTTCAGAACATAATAAATTATCCACTTAGTATCTTAATAACTTTACAAAATCTCTCCTCTCTGAAATAGTACATTTTCAAGCACTTGGGGAAGTTTTATAAACAAAATAATACTTATAACCAAAGCTTACAATTTAGGTCTAGGGGATACTGATGTTCATATAATCCAACATTTATATTATCCAAATGGTTGGGCAGACTCCAGTACAAACAGTCCTCAGAGCTACATATGCCAATCAGCTGGAAGATGGTTTTTCCTAGGAGAGTGAGCTGAGTTCCTACAGCAGTGACTAGCAGGGGAGAGAGTCTCTAAGCAGCCCTGAAGCCAATAGGAGATTCAAGTCACTCCCCAGTAATGTTAATTTCCTCCCTGCTATTCTTCTATAGGCACAGATTTTAGGAGATTATAGACCCACATGATCCATCAGTGACACCTATAATCCTATACAATAGTACTTCTTAGTCAAAAAGTTGTGCTGCTTGCTGAGTGATCTATGAATATGACAATGACCATGTCCTAACTTTTGCCAAATGACCAATCAAGGGCTTCTCTATTGGCTTTAGGTCAAATCCTCCTAAACACCAGAAGGAGAATTATAATAGAAAACTCAAAGGCATAGCTAGAGGGTATGTGGTAAGTTGGGTTACCCAAGGATAACACAATTACTTCTAATTAATCAATTCACCAGTACCATGGAAAGACATACATTAACATGGCTTAACCTTCACACCGAAGAAAAATGTCAGTGATAGTTAATGAGGCATAAAAGTTTCAAATCTTCAGTCACACCAGAAGCAACCTAGAATTGTAACTTTCATTCTGACAATGACCTCTACACATTTCTAGCACTGAAAAACATAAAGCTATGCCTCCTCTTACCACACAGAGACCTGAGAGCTGAATGAACCGTCAAACCCAGTATCACAAAAAGAAATATTTTAAAAAAAACTTACCAACATTGAAATCATCATCATAGATAGATGGGAAGGGCCGGGATTTGGGAGGAAATGGGAACTGGCCTTTCCGACCTGTGGTGAGAGTGGTGAGCGTGAATATCTCATCCTCTTGCAGTTCCAATGTGAAAGTGCCACCACTGTCAAGGAGCTGGAAGAGAAAATGCCCACATTCAAGGCCAAGGGTAGCTCACATCACTGCCTCAAAACATCTTGAGAAAAATAATCTTAGGGCTGGGAAGGTGGCTCAGTGGTAGAGCACTTGCCTTGCATGCTCAAGGCCCTGGGTTCGATTCCTCAGCACCACATAAGCAAAAAGAAAAAAAAAGCCGGAAGTGGTGCTGTGGCTCAAGTGGTAGAATGCTAGCCTTGAGCTGAAGCGCTGAGGGACAGCTCCCAGGCCCAGAGTTCAGGCCCCACGACCAGACCAAAAAAAATAAAAATAAAAATAAAATAATCTTAACACAAAGACCAACTCATTCCTGTTAGGATTGCCTCAATCCTCATGAGACACCATATCAAGGCCCTTGGTAATGTTCTATGCCTATTTACAAGGACTTTATCGTTGAATCGATTTTAGAAGATTTCCTTCTATACTTCATAGGAAAAAAAAAGAATGTCATTGCATGGAGAAAGGAATAAATGGTGCCCAAACATATCTATTAGCCTATTCTTTTCAATTGTACAGTAAGCTCCTTAGAACTTGTATATATTTAATACATGCAACTGAAGGCTCTGCTCATTTCTCCCTTAAGACTTTTAGAAGGGAGAAAAACTCACTAAAACCTCACTAATCACTCAACTGTTAATCACAGAAAATGGTTCTCAAGAAAGAGAAGTTCTGATCATTATAAATTCAATATAAATTTTAATAAGCAAGGTAAGTTTATATAATGTTTATGACTTTGACAACTTAATGTTTTCAAGTTTTTTCCCCTCACATAAAATAAAGGGGAAAAATATATACCTGAAAGGGGTGTTGTAAGGATGAAGGCAGACAATGATTATGAAATGCTTATCTCAATGAGGGACTGACAGGAAACACAACTGCCTGTATTATTGCTGTTTGTTAACCATAAACCTCCAAAGGCACTACCAACCCTTTCATATACTATTAAGGTAGGAAGCAAAGTTATGCTCATTTTATACAATTGTGAAAAATTCTCTTTCTACTTAGAAGTTAAATGGTTCATATACCCTTAGTAGTTAGTTGATGGCCAGATATGAAATATCAGATGCCAAATTTGGGCTCTAGATTATCTTTTTTCCAATAGGAGAAAATCCTAGTTCATTATACTATTTCTAGCAACTGATTAGACAAAATGTACAATGTTCTTTTTCAATGGGTGTTTAATAATTAATAATGAACAATTATTAGAACATTAGTAATTATCAGAAATGTAGCCAATCATGTCAATTAAGTGAAGTAGTATGCTTGCTTGGGCCAATTCATTCTTTGAAACCTTTCATGAAAAAACAGCCTATGCTAAGCACAGTAGTAAGAACACTGTATTAAGACTCATGTTTAAGTCGGTCAGCACACAGTCCTAGGTAGCTGTAGGATGACTGATAGAGAAAGCTCAAATGTCAGATGAGCTAAACTTGGAAAGATAACAGACAGGAGAAGCCATCCTGGGAGAAGAAAAAGCATGTTCAGTCACAGAAGTAAGTAAACACTTATACATGCTTTGAAAACTATAGAAGTTTAGTAAAGAGTGGACAATTTAATAAGAAAAAAAGCCATCTTTCACCTCTGATGAGCCAATGAAGGTCAGATGCTACACTAAGGAATGAATATGACAGTGAAAAATCACTGACATATTTTGAACAAGGCACAGACACAAATCAGACCCACATTACAAACATGCCCCCCTCTGGTGGCCGTGTGGTAAGCTATCCTTGAGGAAGTCAACACTGGGGCTAGAATACCAGGAGGCAAAGTCTGAAATCCATGCGAGCAATAATGAGCAAGTTAAACTTGCCATAGCAGTAGAAATTGGAAATGAGAAAAATATATAGATGACAGAATCGTCTTTATGTGATCATAGTGGGATAGAGAGGGGAAAAAAATAAGAGTTGAATTTCTCACCTGGGCAGCAACTGAGGCAAACTAAGACTAAAGAGCCAAAAACATCTATAAACACACAGACATCTACAATTCCTTAAACAGGATTTCTAGTTAAGAAATAGAAAACACTCATTTGCTTCAGCCATACTCAAGTAACTAACTCCTCTGTATAGCACCTTTACAGTAAAAGAAAATTTAAAAATAAAACATAAAATCAATTACAAACTTTCAAATTCTTCATTCATTAGCCAATTCCTGGCACTTTTTAAACTGTCTTACTGTAATAAAAAATTAAAATAAAAGGAAGTGGCACTGTAGCTAACGTGGTAGAGCACTAGCCTTGCGCTGAGGAGCACAGAGACAGCACCCAGACTCATAAACTGACAAAAATTAAAATAAATAAATAAACAAATTAAAATAAAGGACTTTAAAACTACCCATATAGAATCCAGTCGTTTAAAAAGGAATCTCTCAGATGGTATTCCAAGCTTAGTATACCACACCTGTAGCTCTGGTATATCACTCTAGAGAAAAAAAAAAAAAAAAACAAAGCATGGGTTAATATTTCATTTCCCAAATATGTACTAGTTAAAAGATAAACACAATGATAATGTGTGATTTACCAAAAAAATCAACTATTAAGTAGTTATATTTTTAAATTAGTAAGACATTGTTTAAGCTAATACTTTATTTCTCATAAATTTCAGCTACTAAGCAAGATAGCTAGGCATTTTCAAGAACAAACCTCTGCATTAATAGACTTTCAGAAGGGCCCTTACTTTGTTTCAGATAAGACTCTTCAGAGAAACTTGCAGAGAACATGCTAACCACTATTCTTTTAGGTGACCTAGACCCAGAGTAAACTTAGCTTGTGGTAACAATGAATAGAGCACACACAGAAGCAATCTTGTCTACCATCTTTCCTGTATGAACACCTGCTCTATGGCCTTGAGCTAATTTAAGCATGCTCAGAAGTGTGCCTTATCATTTTTTGTTCTTGAATTGTTACTTTAAACTGAGCATGCTGAGAAATATCCACCATATACATCATGCTCTGATGTACCCATCTCCAGTGTGCTTTTGTATATCAACATGCACAGGCTCCCTGAATAAAATACCCATGCTGCTTTTCCAGGAGATCATTGCTTTGGGGGGGAGGGAGGGGAAGCCTACAGTGCTCTTCTTACCTGTCACAGGTGATAAATCTCCATCTTTATCTCCTGGTTATGATCTTTGGTATTGTATTAACCAAGATAGGAATACTAAAGAACTCTGCCAAATGTTTAAAAAAAAAAAGCCTTTGCTTCAAAAGTACTCACTATTGTATCTGCATAAAAACCTTTTTAAGAATCTTCTAGTACAAAAATAATTTTATATGCATTAATTTAAAAGGTACTGAACGTTCTCAATTCAAATCTAACAAAAGAACTAGGTGCCAGTGGCTCACACCTACAATCCTAGCTTCTCAGGAGGCCACGATCTGGAAGAATGAGTTTCAAAGCCAGCCAGGACAGAAAAACCCAACAAACTCTATCTTGAAAACAAGCCAGAGAAAAGCTCAACTAGAAGCAAGGCTCAAGTAGTAGAACACCCACTGTGAGCAAGTAAGCCAAGCAAGCACAGGATCCTAAATTCAATCGCTGGTTAAAAAAAAAAAAAATCTAACAATTTTCACGATGTTGATCTTTCCAATCCAGGAGCATGGGAGTTTTTGCCACTTTCTAAGTTCTGTTTTGATTTCCTTTTTCAAGTTTTTAAAGTTTTCATCATAGAGGTCTTTCACTTCTTTGGTTAAGTGAATTCCGAGGTATCTTATTTTTTGTGGGGCTATTACAAATGGAGTTGCTTTCCTAATTTCAGCCACACTTTTCTCATTGTTGGCATACAGAAAAGCCATTGATTTTTGAGGGTTAATTTTATATCCTGCTATTTTGCCAAAGTTTTGAATCAGCTTGAGTAATTTGGGAGTGGAATCTATGGGATTCTTTAAATACAAGATCATGTCATCTGCAAAGAGGGAGAGTTTTACTTCTTCTTTCCTTATTTGGATCCCCTTTATGTTTGCATCTTGTCTAATTGCTGTAGCTAGGCATTCTGATACTAGATTGAAGAGAAGTGGAGAGAGTGGACATCCTTGTCTTGTTCCTGAGTTAAGAGGAAATGGCTTTAGTTTTTCACCATTAAGTATAATGCTGGCTGTAGGTTTGTCATATACAGCCTTTATTGTATTGAGGAATGTTCCATGGATTCCTAATTTTTCCAAGACCTTCATCATAAAGGGGTGTTGGATCTTGTCAAATGCTTTTTCTGCATCTATTAAGATAACCATGTGGTTCTTATCCTTGCTCTTGTTGATGTGATGAATTATATTAATTGATTTGCGTATATTGAACCAGCTTTGCATCCCTGAAATGAATCCTGTTTGATCATGGTATATGATTTTTTGGATGGATTGTTGAAGTCGATTGGCCAAAATTTTGTTGAGAAGAAGTAGAAATATGGTGCCTTTTTACCCGCTTTTCAGTATAAAGTAAACAAATAGTGCCTTTGGTGATTTGTATTGTTGTTTTGGTACAGAGTACTGAGTATTTTAGAGTATTCCAAAGATCACTGTTTAAGCACAGTTTTTTTGTTTTGTTTTTTTGTTTTTTGGTCCAGTCATGGGGTCTGAACTCTGGACCTGGGCGCTGTCCCTTAGTTCTTCAGCTCAAGGCTAGGGCTCTACCACTTGAGCCACAGCTCCACTTTCAGCCTTTTTCTTTTTGCTTATGTGGTGCTGAGGAATTGAACCCAGGGCCTCAGGCATGCAAGGCAAGCGCTCTACCACTGAGCCACCTTCCCAGCCCTAAGCATAGTTTTATAGTATATAACTGATGCTCAAGCCACCAAGGATAATTTTTTTTTTTTTTTGGTAAGTCATGGGGCTTGAACTCTGAGCATGGGCGCTGTCCCTCAGCTCCTCAGCTCAAGGCTAGCACTCTCAGCCACAGCACCACTTCTGGTTTTCTAGTGGTTAATTGAAGATAAGAGTCTCACAGATGTTCCTGCCTGGGCTGGCTTTGAACTGGGATCCTCAGATTTCAGCCTCCTGAGTAGCAAGGATTACAGGCGTGAGCCACCGGCACCCAGCTCCAAGGATAATTTTCTTACAAGTGACTTTTATAAGTGTTCCTCAAAGCCACAGAGACCTTTGACATGTACTGGCTTCTGTCCTATTTCTTTAAAAGGAGTCAGGAGATACAAATGCAAATTATTAACTCATATGTATGACTTATCACATAAGAACTGCTGGACTGTGATAGAAGTAATAATGTGATACATATGTACTTACAAGAGTTCCCTGAAGAAAAAAGGTAGCCAATTGTTGTGATACATTGTAATAGGGAAGAAATGGCCGGATACACATAGAATGTTTGTGACTCTGAAGATAAAACGAAGTTAAGTTATCCACATGATATTATACAAGCTATAAATAACTAGTATCCCAAGATTAATATAAGTAGCACACATTACATAACTATGAATTTATCTCAAATGTTAACAATTTTTCTGCTGTACTCTTAATGAATGTGTGTTTTGTATGACTAGACAAAGCAAATCCCAATTACACTTCAACTGTTCAATTTTTTGTTATAAACACTTTCCAAGTAAAATATATCAAGTGGAAAAAAAAAAAAAAGCTTTAGCCAGGAACCAGAGGCTCAGGCCTATAACCCTAAGTACTCAGGAGGCAGAGATCTGAAGATCGTGGTTTGAAGCCAGCCCAGACAGTAAAGTCTGTGAGACTAATTGGAGACTAATCTCCAATTATCCACCCAAAAACTGGAAGTGGTGCTACCACTTAAAATGATAAGGAGTGCTAGCTTTGAGCAAAAGAGCTCAAGGACAGTGCCCAGTCTCTGAGTTTAAGCCCCAAGACCTACAAAAAAAATGTTATACCATATAACCATGATATACCATATAACTATATCTTTCAAATTCACACAAAGGTCAGCTTAATAGATACGAGTAGCTCTCATATTGCTGTCATTTTTCACAAGTCACGATTATGAGCTGGAAACAAAAAAAAGCTGAGACATGAATTCTACTTTAGAGAATTCAATAATTACAGGACTCAGCTATTTAGGTGGGAGGAGGGAAGTAATCGTGGAGATGGGAGGGAAGGGATGGTAGGGAAAAACAAAGGAGGAGGCAACAATGCTTGATAAGAAATGTACTCATTACCTTGCTCATGTAACTGAAACCCCTCTGGTACAGTATTTTCACAATAAAAAAAAACTTATTTTTTTTTTAAAAAAGGTTCTGTCCCAGGCTTAACAGACAATTATAAAATTTTAAAAAATCACCAGCACAGGTGGCTCATGCCTGTAATCCTAGCTACTCAGGAGGCTGAGATCTGAGGATCACAGTTCAAAGCCAGCCTGGACAGGAAAGTCCATGAGACTCTTATCTCCAATAAACCACCTGAAAACAGGAAGTGGTGCTGTGGCTCAAGCAGTAGAGCACAGGCCTTGAGCTGAAAAGCTGAGGGATAGCGCCCAAGCCCAGAGTTCAACCCCAACAACCAAAAAAAAAAAAAAAAAAAAAATTAAAAATCATCATAAATAGACACTTCAACTAGGAAAATTGAGGGGATGGGTTGGATTGGAGGAATGAGGGAGGGAGATTGGTGAAAGGGGTGATGTTGATTAATATGCATACTCATACACTAACATGTAACAATAACCCCTTTAAAAAACTACTTAAGAGATAATAAAAATATAATTTAAAAATAAAATAACTGAGAGTACAAATAGAAAATCAGTAAGCATATATAGGAGATTTCAACACTATTTCAACAGTGTCAAGCAGCTTGCTTTGACTGAGATCTGTAAGTCACTCCATCCAGTGACAGCAGAATGCATATCCCCTTCAAGAGTACATGGAGAACTGACCAAGGTCTCCCACATCCTAACCAATACACAAATCATAATAAATTTGAAAGGTTCTAGTCACACAAAGTATAACATTTCCCACCATATAATTAAAATGAGAATAACTGAAAAAAACTTCAGAATCATTCTAAAATATTCAGAAAACAAATAAATTTCTAAATAATCTATGGTCCATAAGAAAAAAGATGACAAAAAAATCCTCAAATAAATAAAGCCTTAAAACTTTAAAAGTATGACTTTAAAAATTAGTCTACATATTCATTAATTTCAACAAACTATGAAAATAAATGCAAGGAGATAAACACACAGACACATCATAATAAAGGCCAAAAATCAAAGATAAAAAGATTTTAAGAGCAAGACTGGAAATGACTGATCATCTTTATAATCTTATAAGAAGAACTTTATAAGATTAGCAGCTGATTCTTTTTCATCTGTGAAAGCAATATGTCAAAATGCCAAAGAAGCTCTCAATCAAAAATCTTATATCCATCCAAAAATATCTTTCACAAAATGAGGGCAAAACACATCCCAGATATACAAAAACTAAATGTGCTGGCAACAGGTACAGCTTTCATAAAATACAACAATCATATTAAAGACAGTAAACATGTAGTTTTTATCCTTTTTTCTTGTAACTTACTTTAAAAGTATTTTATACAATATGCATATAATTGTACTGTTTAACTAACAATAGACAGAAATGTAATACATTTGTCAGTAACAACACAAAGGAACAGGTGGAAGACAAGCTACATTTGGAGCAGCCTGTTGCGTGATGCTACATGATGCTACCAACTGGCAAGAGAAGAAGACTTTTAAAAAATCCTTCTTATCCTCCCCCTTCCAAATTCAGATTATCAGGAGACAATTGTTTGGTTTGTGATTCTTATATGAATTTGGTCCTTTTTTCCCAAAGGACAGCTAAATTTCACTTTTATATTTGTCCCAATTTAAGTCCTATGACTGGCTTGACTAATACCCTCAGTCTCAGTTGTCAACAGCCCAATCTCATCTGACAACAGGTGGACTGTCAGTTTTCTCTGTGCAAGCACACAACTTCATCTTTTTGGGGGCAGGAAGCTCCAAGAATATGGCTATACCAAATGTAGACTGTATCCCATTTGCAGGTAGCATTCTGTTTCCAGCTATAGGGTTGGAGGGAACATCTGTCCTTTCTTTGGGCTGTCTTTGGGAATGGTTCTGGATCTTGGTAAAGAGCTGTTTGTGCCCTTTTTTGAGAAGTCCTCTTTGGTCCATGAGAAGCTCAAGTCATGAAGGGCTTACCAATTTTTGGTTCAATTGAGTCATTCAACAGACAACTTTGGTTTAAAAAGAATCAGAATTGCCTATAATATTTATTGTTTGTCCTCTGGAACCTGATAAATAATATACCTTTAAAGGATCTTCTTAAATGTTGACCAGGAGATGGCCAAATGGTAAACCAATCATAGTCGCTACTCAACACATATTTTTTATGGATGCTCTGTTCTCTCACTCAGATCCTTCTTCTCCCATGCAAACTTCTTAGTAAACTGAAACCCTCTGCTCAAACCTCTGCTGAATACCAGTAATGCCTGCTGCCTCCTAGTTGGAATTTCACTAGTGTTTTGGGAAGCTTAAGATCTCTCCAATCTGGCACCTGTATAACTTAATCTTTCCACTTGCTTCTTTTCATCCTTCAGTCTTCCACTCATTTCCAGGCCCTGTCTTCTCCATCCTTCTGTTCATCCCTGCCATCCCTTTTCCCCAGTACAGCCTCCCAGACACTTAAAACCATTCTCTCAATAGACTAAAAATATCCCTCAAACAGCCCATCTAAGATAGACAATGGAAGAGCCACAGCTTCCCTGTCCTAACATATCAGGACAACGGAAAGTCTTGGAGGTTAATAAACAGGTAAAACTAGTGAGTTGTGCTGCTGTTTTATTGACTCGTGACTAAATTTTTAAATGAAAGCTATAAAACCTTGGCAGCTTTCTGTATATGTGAATATATGCAGGGTGTATATGTGTGTTCAATTTTGTATCATACTACTTTTCCAACACTAAACAAATGAAGTAATCCAATATCAACAACAAAACAATTACCATAGTTTCAATGATGATGGTGAGGTTACCTAAGCCATCAGTCAGAGCTACATAGCTTCCTCCTTCTTTTAAATGGCCAACTGTCTTCAAGTAGTACCAACCTGGTTGAGTAAACTGAGATGTATGTGCTGTAGGAAAGCAGAGAGATATGCAAGTAAGATAAAAATGGTGATGACATTTTCTATAAAAAAATAATATGGCAGTTTAACCAATTGGAGTCTGATTTATTCTAGCAAGCTATTTTCTACTTTAGAGGAAAATATATGCCAATCACATTTAACTAATCCACTTAAATGGTATAACTGCACAAAGATTCTTGGAATGACAGAGTGGTAAAAATAAACTTACATTAGTATACATTGGGTGGTTATTTTTCACCAAGAGCAAAGTTAAGTTATTCCTCTAGCTACACCTCTCTTTGCTTATCTCCATTAACCCAACCTAATAGAACTAACAAAGAATTATAATAATGCATTTCAAAAACTGCTTTTATGGCCTTAATTGTCTTACAATATATGTTTTGTTGTCACCTCCAAATTTGTCATTGTACTAATAAACAGTATTTCACATTCCCACCCCCACACCCAGACTAGAAGTACGTATTGCCTAGGAAATTGGAAACAACAATTTAAACACTTAAATAGTTCATCAAAAAAGACATGTAAGTCTAGCTTAATTTTTCACATATTCAGAAGAACAAGTCAAGTAATTTAGAATAATATTACAACATAACTACTAAGGTCATGATTAAAAATTTCTGAGGACAGCATATCAACTAAAAGAGATAATCAAGAAAATAAAGGTTTAAGATTTGAGCATGTTCACTTTGATTTATAATTCTTCTCTGAAAGCATCTTACATTTGGAGAAATCTTTTTTTTTTTAAGTACAGTGAGTGGTTATGATTTTAGAAACAAAATAGTCACCAATGTTAAATATTTTTACCAAAACCCAAAAATTTTATTAAACAACAGATTTTAAAATTTGTTACATTCATTTTGTCATTAATATAATTACAACCCTCAATGAAAAAGTGGAACACACCATTCATCATCTATGTGACCTCAACTTTCTTTGTGACTAATGAATGACACTACAATGTCGTTTTGTTATTCAACAGAAGTGGCGGGATCTGAGCCAGTGTCGGTGGCTCACGCCTATAATCAGAGTTACTCAAGAGGCTGAGATCTGAGGATCGCAATTTAAAGCCAGTCCAGGCAGGAAAATAAAAAATAAAAAAATAAAAATTGAAAACCGGAAAATGGAGCTGTAGCTCAAGTGGGAGAGTTAACTAGCCTTAAGCACAAAAACTCAGGAACAACACACATGTCCAGATTTCAAGCCCCATGACTAGCAAAAAAAATAAAAATAAAAAATAAGAAAGAATGAAAGAACTAAAAAAAATGGCTGGATCAATAGGCCTGTCTTTGAACTATGTTAATTATGTTTTTTCTCTAAAAGACATTTAACTCAACTGCAGAAAACTCAACTTATCTCCATTTATAATTCATCTCAAATTTGTGCTATGTTGATTTTTCCTCTGAACTGGTTCTAACATTTTCTTCACACAAGTAACACAAAATCTTTAGCATGTGTGCCTATTTATATTCAAGACAAGATTGTGTCTTTTTCTGAAAATTACCTTTTAACAATGCATACTTATAGATTTGGGGAACAGTCATGGTATTTTACTTACTCAACAATTCAATAAATATAATTGTTGTAAATTAGTATTTTCTTAGCACAATGATCACAAAACTGAGTTAATCTAAAAGAATAAAGTGTCTCTAAGACCTAATTTAGATACTGTTAACTGAAATAAATCTTTATCGATATCTCACTTTATTAGCCATTATGACTTGTGATTATATGTTCTAGGTGATTATTTCTGTCTCCATCACTAACATTCCTTCTTCCCCTGCTCCTTTCCCTTCTTTGTGTCATTTCTAAGATTTTGGTCCATGAAAAATCAAATACAGAATACAGAAAGTAGTCTAATTTCTCAAAATAATTTTATTAAAACACTGACAAATCTCTTTTAAAACAGAGACACACAAAACATGGACAGAGATTTTGTGATACATGGAGTGTACAGCATCTCCTGTAGGTTTTTTCTGCTTTGCCTTGTAGAGAGGAATTTAGGGTAGGATAGAATGTGAAGGGGCTGGGAAGGTGGCTCAGTGGTAGAGTGCTTGCCTTGCATGCATGAGGCCCTGGGTTCGATTCCTCAGCACCACATAAGCAAAAAGAAAAAAAGCCGGAAGTGGCACTGTGGCTCAAGTGGTAGAGCGCTAGCCTTGAGCTGAAGAGCTGAGGGACAGCGCTCAGGCCCAGAGTTCAGGCCCCACGACTGGACCAAAAAAAAAAAAGAAAAAAAGAATGTGAACCATACCTGACACCCAAATGGGAGATTCCACTACATAGTGCCCACTCCACGGCTCCTGGGCAGTCATCAGTCCACATCGGCCATAAGGCAATTCCTCATAGTAACTAGCCACCAAATTCCAAGCGATTGTCCTAAAGTATTGGATTAAAAAAATAAAAGCATGTGATAAAAACATGGAGTAAAGAATACTTACCATAATTATCATGTAAATGAATATAAAATGATCACCCAAACCAAGAAAATAAAAATTGCTTAACTTTACTCACACTTTGAAATAATTAAACATTTTAATGATGAATCACATCATAAAAAATACAAAAGCATATGGGATGTACAAATTCATAGCCAACAATAACACATTCCTGATTAGTGCCAAATGTAAATGAAAGCTGTCTATACCTGCTTTCCTTTCAACAGCCAGCCTTCAATAATGTCCCCATCTTATGACATAATTTTTTATGAACTTGCTATTGCAAAGTTTTACAATGGAGAACTCTGAAGTGTCAGACTGTCTGGGTTCAGACACTGACTCTAACATTTAACCTCTCTGGATCTCAGTACTCTCATCTATAAAATAAGGATAGTATGTGTACTTAAATCACAAGTTGGTTGGGAATATTAAACATATTAAAGCATATAAAAAAGAATCAAGATCAAGGTCTGAGCTTTACTACTGATATAGCATTTTGTTTCAGCTATGAACATTAGTTGGATCTACTTGCTGGTGTGTTTTATGGCTTATTCTTTCAATTGATCAGTCCTAAAAGTCCACAGAAAATACTGAACCCTAAAATTGTGACTCAGAAAAGCCAAACACAGAAGAGAAGTTCTTATACCAGTCTGAGTTTCTCACATCTAAATAGTAGTAGTAGTAATATTAATGATAATAATAATAGTTTACTTATAGAATTTTATTTTTCTGATCAAGCTGGAACTTATCACAAAATGTCAGACTGCCATACTTAGGCAATAAAATTTTTCTAATTATTTCAAAACAAAGTAGAAATAATACTCTCAACTTTGAAAATTCTATCAGTGAACATTACATGATTTTGCTCAGAGTTTTGGTAAGTCCTGGTATCTTCTCTGATTAGAGATAGATCAATCAATCAGATAAACTTTCTGGAAGGCATTTTGTAAAAGATGTACAAAAGCCTTCAAACTCTATTACCTCTCACCTAGATATTTCATATCTAAGGATACACCCTAAGAAAATATTTACAGGTATGCACAAATATATTTATATGTGGCTAATCATTTCAATTTGTATGAAGCTATGGATTAAAATAACTTGTATTTTTCTAGGAAGAGAAAAATATTCAATGAGGCATAATACATTCTCAACACTGGTGTTTCCCAAACTTGTGCAGAATCAAAATCTCCTGGACTAGACAAACAATATCCCAAGATCCCTCCTTGTAGACCCGGATTCAGTGAGGCCTCACAGCAACCTAGCAATCAACGTAACTAGGATCCCAGGTGCTTCTTCCGACAAGGCAAGTTTGGGTTCACATCAATAATCCTAGCTATTCAGGAGATGGAGATCAGGAGGGTTACAATTTGAAGTCAGCCCAGGGAAAAAGTTTTTGAGACTTCATTTTCACCAACAAAATCCATGTATGGTAGTACAAGCCTACTATTCCAGCTACACAGAAAGCATACACAGGAGGACCTTAGTACAGCCCAGACCAGCATACTATGTCAGACACTACTCAAAAATTAACCAAAGCAAGAAAGGTGGGGTGGGACTCAAGTAGTAGAGTATGTACCTGGAAAGCACGAGACCTAAGTTCAAACCCCAGTACTGACAAAGTATTTTTTAAATATCAATATGCATAGAAATTATAGTGTAGTCATGTAAAAATATCCTTATGTTTGGGAAACACAGACAGAACTATGTAGGTATACAGTGGCAAAGCACATAAAGCAATTTATAATTTTTATACAAATTATCATTTTTTATAAATTTTACTACCCATTAACTGTGCCTCAACAAACTAACTTTTCTTAATATAAGCTATACGCATATATAGGAAAATGAGTTCAGATTAGATGTAAATTAGGTGTAAATGAAGCCAACAAGCAAATGATGATTTAAGATCATCAAATAGAGACCGTAAGAATACAAGAGTAGCATTTTCTACTTGTTTTCAGAATTTTTTATAATAAAATTCTTAAAAGGTTCTTAATAACTTACGAAGTCATATAGCCATTAATATAATTCTGATTTAATATTCGAGCCCAACAGCCTGCGCCCACATCACTGTTTAATGTACTAAAATCTTCAGAAGACCAAAGTTTCTTCCCAGTCAACTGTGCATTGTGTGCTGAAAGGGTTCCAGGATAATGAGCCCTAGGAAAGAAAGTATAACCATAAGTAAATAATGGTCAGGATAAAACAGTTTCATGAATATGTGTTAACTGAATTAAGATATAAGTGTTCTCCAGTTTTCTACTTTAAAACAACTGAGCAGTTTCCAAATAGATGAAAGACAGAATGCCAGCATTTGCTGCCTACTTTCAGTAACCATGACATGACAACAAAGAAAACAAAAAGGGATAGCATTACAGCCACACACTGAATCTAGGAGTAGATTCAGTCACACAGATCATTAATGGACAAGAAGATTCTTGAAGTGGATAAAACCATATTGACTAATGGAAGAAAAGGCCAGAGCCTAGAACACTGTAGGAAGACAGCAAGATCGAGTTAGGATTTGGACATCCCAGGGGGAGCTAGAGAGCTAGGAACAGGAATAGGGAATAAGCAAAGATGCCAAAAATAAGACACAAACACCTATTATATGAAGAAACACTTTTTTCCATATTTCTACCACTAGTAGACATAAATTTGGCATTAACTTCCAGGCAAAATAATAATAATAATATAATAAAAGCAAAAAGAAAACAAAACAACAAAAAATACAAATGGGAAAACACAGTTACTATCTCAAACCATTAATGGTTCTCAACCTGAATGATCTGACCCTGAAAAGGATATTTGGCAAAATCCAGAGACAGTTTTCCTAATGTTCTATTCTAGAGAAGGGAAGTTTGATAACTGTATGTAGTAATCAGAGGAAAAATGTTGCTATACATTCTACAATGCACAGGAACAGACCATTGAAACAAAGATTTATAGGGGGAAAATAAGAGTATCGCAGTTGAGCACCGGTTGAATACAGTGATAAAGCACCAACCTTGAGTGAAAAGCCAAGGGACAGGGGGCCCAGATCCTGAGTTCAACACCTAGTACAAACACACACACAGACACATATACACACATACACACACACATACAAAAATAAATCCTAGAAAGTATACACTATTATGCTACCAGTGACGAACATGTTTAGATTCTGAGTCAATTCTGAGTAAATTCTAACTATATCTTCACAATGTTCTACATTGTCCTACTCTGCTGTAATAAGCATGTATTACTTTAGTAACTTGAAAAATACTCTACACTACAGTTATAGGAGGTATATCCCTCAATTCAAAAAATGATGAAACTGTTAACTATGTTCAAAATCAGAGCAAGTAATTTAGCAAAGAAAGGTAGAATCAGTAGTTGGATGCCAGAAAAAGCTTCAGATATTGCCAAATGTACCCTGGAAGACAAAATTACCTCTAGCTGAGAACAACTCATTATAAAGCAACAAATATAGCTACAACTTCATATAACTCCATCTCTGGAATCAAAAAATAAGTCTTCCTAAAAGCAAAAGATAAAAAAGGAAAAATCTTTATTCTTAAGCTTGAATAAAGAAATCTTCATTCTTTATTCTTAAGCAAGAATAAAGAAAGCAAACCTCACAGTAAAACATTTTGCACTGCTAGAGGTATAAATCACTCAGTAGGCAAGACATTATTGCAACATGAAGAACACAAATATCAGTTATACCAAAAAATACCATGTGTTTAGTTAACTCATCAAAATATCAAGATTTTTCAGAACAGGTGTAAAGAACAACAATACAAAAATTACAAATTAGGAAGTAAACAAAAAACATAACAGCATTCTACAACACTCAAACAAAATTATCTTGAAAGGCAAAAAGCAGAAACATACAAGTAAAGGAAGCAGGAATTTCTTCATTATACCATGTAGTCGAGAAAATTTAATGAGACAAGAAAATGGTATTTTCTATTGATAACAGTTACAAATCATAGTACCAATTAACAAAGTGGTAACTATCATACAGCCAAAACTTCCTATGACTGAAACAAAAATCCACTAAGAGGAGGGAACAAACATCCCTGGTAACTCCAGATAGCTAAAGCAGACAATATCACTTAGATATTATTTGTGGTGGGGGAGAAAAAAGTCCTTATATTTACAGGGACATGGAAAAGTTTTAAAGAAGAAATAACATTTGAGGTTTATTTGAAAGTAATGTGAGAAAGAAGTAAAAAGAAATGAATAGGCATTTAGGAAAAGAATTGGTCATGGCTTCTCTGTTTTTGATGCCAAGTGATTGGAACTTAAGATATTTGTTATACTAGCCTGCTTGCTTTTGTGTACATTCAAAATTCTTAAGCTGGGGGTATAACTTAGTACTAGAGGACTTTTCTACCATGTACATGGTCATAGGTTTGATCCCTAGCACTAAAAACAAGGAAGAGAGGAAAGGAAGGAGAGAGGGCATGGAAAAGGGAACGAGAAAGGATAAAAGGAAAAGGGAAAGGAGAAGAATAGCATTACCAACAACAACAAAAAATACATTTTTTAAAAAGACATCAAGCAGAGTCACAGTCTTCATAACAGATTAGCAAATCCACAAATATATATTCTATTTTTTAAATGCTATGAACTGTCTCATGATAGGTAAAATACAAATTTACTTTAAAAAAAATACTGTGGTACCTTAATAAGATGAGAGAGAAAACAGGACTATAAAGTAGAAATGGAATAAAGAATGGGATCAGAGCTACATTACTAAGGATTTATGATAAAAGTTAGTCAGCACACATGCCAAACCATTTACAAATATAAGGCCTCCCAGCTGCAGGAAACCTAAAGAACTAACTTTACAACACTGCTTTCATAATTCCTAAAATTAAATACTATCACTTACTCAAAATAAGGGCCTCATTTTATGACTCCAAATATCAACATTTTTTAAGTGTATGTTGTAGAAAGATTCCTCAAATACCTAAATCTCAAAGAGAATAAGATAAAGTATGGGCTGTACACATTTCCCTTAAGTAAACAATTACCTACCCAGAATATAATCAAATAGGAGGGAAGAAAATCACAGTCACACCTAGAGCAATCAACCAGTGGAAAACAGGCCTTACCCTATTACATCAATCACCTTCAAGAGTTCAGGGTCAAACAGCATAGAAGAAGAAATAGGCTCCCAAAGATTATCACTTGCTATGATTTTCACTTGCTGGAAACCCTGGTAGTTCAGCATCCTTCTTAATACCTTTTGAGAGATAAGATCAAAGGAAGGGTTTGTAGCTATTGAATTATAACAAAAATAGCTAATGAAGTAGCTTCAAAAGCTCAGCACTCAGGATGACAGTTTCAATAGTGTTTCTCAACTGTTCATAGGGAAAAGAAGTTTTAGAGAGATTTCCCTTCTGACTTTAAAAGTATGTTGAACCATAGAAATTGGAGTATAGAAAGGGGGCAACATAAGTAAAAATAATCAAATGGTAGGAAGTAAGCCCAGATGTAATTACTATTATTTTGGTATGCTTCCTTCTAGGAATTTCCTATACAGACTTAACAATAAAATTGGGCTCCTAGTCACACAATTTGGTAAAATATTTTAGCCTATCATTCTATTTAAGTATTTTCCAAGGTCTTAAATTGCTTAATAATTTGTATAACAACAGAACATCATAATTCTTAATATTTTAGACTACACCAGTATAAATAAGAAATATTCCATTCTTAATATCAAGACTTTCATGGTTAAAAAAGATAGGAAAATAAAATCTATCTATAGTACCATTTATCTACAAAAATTAAAAGAAGCTTAACAGGAAATAAATCAACAAAGAGTACAGAGCCCTTCATCGGCACTGAATACTATTCTTGAGTCCCACAAGAACTATAAAAGAAGCATAAAACAGGGTCTGGTGCAAACACACATTTGAACACCAAAACAGTTAGGCACCAGGGTGATTTATGCCTATAATCCTTGCTACTTGGAGGCCTCAGCCTCCACAACCTGAGGATTGTGGTTTGGAGCCAGCCAAGTAAACTAATACTTGAGGCTCTCATCGCCAATTAACCCAACAAAAGAACTAGAACTAGAAGTCAGACTCAAGTAGTAGATCCCCAGGATTGTGCAAAAAGAACTTGTAATGGAGCTCATAATGCATGTATCTCCTTATAGAGAGATAGGGATTCCCCATCTGCTGTAACTCAGAGTATCTCTGAGCATGAGTCTGTATTTACTCTAAGGAACTGCTTGATAGTCAATTGTTTTCAGGATACCCTTGGACTCAAATGAGCTTGCTTGGAAGATAAATTTGGCTTGTCACTCTTATTCTCACATTTTCTAAATATGTAACAACACATCAGTTTTGAGAAACTATTGTAAAATACACCACAGATTTAATTAGATATTTTGTTATTTGTTGTTATTTGGAAATTTCCGACATTCAGAAAAAATCAAATGTAAAAAGAGAACTTATAAAATTATTCTTGATTATTTTTATTAATTTGATCAATAATGTTGAGCATCTGCTACTGTGCACTTGCCATTTTCAAACACTGTGAATTTAAAGCAGAGTGACTTGTTTGTATCCATTCAGCAAGAAGAGCTGAAAAAGAATAACTTGGTCAAGTTGTGCACTTGGAACCATGACTATTTCTAGATTTTTCTAGCTCTCCTAGATAATCACCATTAAGATCCTGTACTCTATACACAATATATTAGAACATTTCAAAATGTACAAGTTATAAAGTAAGAGTCCATTCAAAATTGTTACACTGCTTTATATCTATCCGTCTAAAACTAGTATTTGTTTTTTCATGTTAAGTATACCCTCCACCCTGAGCTACAATCCCTCAACCCCATTAAGCTAGTGAATTTTAAAATAGGGAAACTCAATCAAACTCTTTAGATACAGAAATATCAGAGGATTACATGTGCTTTAATTTTAAGATTTTACTGCAATTTTATCTTTTAATTTAATGGTATTGTCAAAGTGATATATAGAGGGGTTGCCGTTAACTATGTAAGGTAATGAGCACATTTCTTGTCAAACATTGTTAACTCTCCCTCATTTTCCTCCCACTTTCCCTCCCGCCCAACTTCCCTTCACAAAGTTGTAAAATTCATTTCCAACATAGTGTCTTGTGAGTATCACTGCTGTATTGGTTCACCATTTGTCCTCTGTCTCACCATTTTGTTGTTGCACTTCCCTTTCCCAAATCAGATAAATGTGTGTACAAGACACAGGGTACCAAAATCAAATACAGTGACAACAGGGGATAAACCGAAGGGAAGAAAGAAAAAAAAAAGAAATAGCTTCACACAGCACATTAAAATCAACAACAACAACAAAGAAAAAACTCTTGTTTCTATATCTTGGAGTTCATTTCAATAAGCATCATTTTATATGGTCGTATGTATACAGCTCCCCAGGTAAAATAGCCATTATCAAGAAATCAACACTAGATGCTGGTAGGGATGTGACCAAAAGGGAATGCTACTACATTGTTGGTGAGAGTGTAAACTTGTTCAACCACTCTGGAAAGCAGTATGGAGATTCCTCAAAAGACTAAACATAGAGCTCCCCTATGACCCAGCAATCCCACTCCTGGGCATTTACCCAAGTGACCACAAACAAGGCCATAATAAAGCCACCAGCACAACCATGCTCACTGCAACATTATTTACAATAGCTAAGATAGGGAACCAACCCAGATGCCCTTAGTAGATGAATGGATCAAAAAATGCAATATATATACACAATGGAATTCTATGCTTTCATCAGAAAAAATGGCATCACTCCATTTGTAAGGAAATGGAAAGACTTGGGAAAAAAATCATATTAAGTGAAGTAAGCCAGACCCAAAGAAACATAGGCTTCATGGTTTCTCTCATTTGTAATAATTAGTATATGTCTAGAATAATCCTAGCAGAGGATTACAGTTTAATATCAAAACTACCAAAATAATAATTGTTCTATGAAAAAGTGTAGTGTTTCTACTATTAATTTCTTATTATTTCCATGTATGGAAACATAAAGAATTATTCACAAGTAACAAAATAATATGTAAAATAATGAAGTTGTACAAACCTTGATATAATTGACATCAAATGACCTTTCATTCCAAATCTGTAAAACAAATAGTCAGAAAGTTTAAATTCAGAGTTAAGATATTTGTCTTCTCGTTCCACTTCTTATTGTATCTAATAAGCCATTTTCCCACCTTACAGGATATGTTTTCATAGAATTTACAGATACAAATCAGACAGCACTTATCTTTCTAAACTATTATTCTTTAAAAATCCTTAAAATATTTTGTGGATGTTTTCTAAATACAGGGATTTCCAACAATGAAATATACATTCATCCAAGAAAGGATGGTAGTTTTTTTTTTGTACTAGGACTATATTGAGCAGTGGAGAACTAATAGATATAAGGATTGCTATACCAATTCCAACCTGACCTCTAAAGGTATACTTAAAAGCTGAATCTTAGTAAGGATACTGTACAGAACAATTTTGAAGGCAGAATCTCAAAGATGTGGTAGAATACGCAAAGAAAACTCTTCATGAAAAAGGAAGAATAAAAGGAAATGTATCAAATCTCTTAAGAGCATGGGGCTTTAGACTTAAAAGGGAACTTAGAGCTCTAACTATAGCTTTTGTAGTCAAAGACAATCAGCAACAGAGATGAGCCTTGAGTCCAAGTGCTACAGTAAGTTTCATATCAAAGTCCTTCTCTACAGCAAGTGATCTTCAAGAGTTTGAGATATGACTCACCCATTATTTACAAGTAACATTTTTTAAATATCTAACATCATAAAAAACTATTGTAATGCAATCCTACATTCAGTCTCACTATGAGTTAAAGATGTTATGACATTTAAGAGAATTCTCAGCGTAATTTTCAATTATATTCTGAAAAAGGAGAACAAAATCAAATGCGTTCACATTGCTGACTTCCTACAGCACTATTCTTCCTCCTGTCCTAAATCTTCTTGTAATAGTTGAGTACATCTGTTCCAATGTCTATCTCTCTCACTAAGCTCAAGGGCTTATTTTGTTATTCCCAGAATATTATAGTTATACTCATGCGACACCAGTAGGAACTCATCAGTATGTGCTCGCTGATAATCTAAGTCATGACTGCATGAAAAACTTCAAGGTCAATTTTGGCAGAAATCTACTATGTGTGAGACTCTATAGGTACAATGCAGTCTAAAACATACTTCAGCCTGTCAATGGAGCAGCTCTGGAAAGACACAATATTATGTTTAAATATTTAAACATAATATTGGCATTTAAAAAAATTAAAAACTAGTTCAGAAGATATATTCTCCATACAGTTTGTCTTTTTAAGGTGGGAAAGAAGTTGGATGGGTAGAGAATAATCAAAGGTCATATGTGGTTAATTTGTGTTATTAGTAGACACTAGTGAAACTAATTAGCCACATGACACAAAACAGTCAACCAACAAAGTACCATAGAATCAAATTACTTTTAAAAATTATTTTAAATAAAAGTCTAAAAACAAATTGTATCTTAAATACACTACTTACTCCAATATAATCAATGTCTAAATTATGGTAACGCTTGGCACCCACAATCCAGCTCACGATATAGTAGGCAGTCAGCTGAATATTTTTGTAAGGCCAGTTTAAGCCTTTGCCCAGCCATCCAGGGAATGACCATGGCAATCCTGTACACAGAGGGAAAGAGGTGAGTGAGAAATGCTGGCACTTCAGAAACAAACCAACCAAAAATCACTCAGTGAGGCCAGAGACCAAACATACACATCCCTAAAATCCCTCTCTATTATGGGCACTGAAAGTTCTTATTGATCCCCAGAGTCAAATTCCAAACGTCCCTTCACGAAGATGAAATAAAAATAAATCATGCTCTCAAAGACACTTACTAATAGAAAAATAGTACATTTTTCGCTTAACATTTCTACTGCCTGTAGAGATGTTGAATATTGAATTCCTGTTCTCAGAGGACAGCCCTACCTCTCTGAGGTAATTTCAAATGATGCAATTTCTCATTCACAAGTACATCTTATAATTTCAGGCTACTTAAAATATTAATAGGTTGAACAATCAAATTTGGCAAACCTAACTTCGTATTGATACCAATGTAAATGCTAATGACTCAACAGGAAAATGTATATCAAATGATATAAATCAAGTAAATCCATATTCTTCAAATAACTGATTAAGTTTAAAAATAGCCATAGTAGAAAGGCACTAATTATCATTTCAAATCCTAAATAATTTATAATATATTACTTATAATATATTAATATATATTATTTATAATATATTAAAAGGAGCTCAACAGGTAAGTTCTTGAGGTATTAAATATATTTTCAATCTAGCTCACTACTGAAAAAATTCAAACAATGAAATCCTTGTTTTTCTAAATAACTAACTACACTACATTAAAAAGTGTGTGACCTTAGCTGAGCACCAGAGGACAGTACTCCTAGCCATTTGGGAGGCTGAGGATGGGAGGACTGAAATGCAAGTCCAACGCAGGCACCAAAGCTCAGAAGACCCCTTCTCACCCACAGCTGAGCACTAAACATGCTAAAACTGGATTTCCACAGAGAGGAGCTGGATTCAGGGGTGCATGCCTGTGATTCCAGCTACAACAGGAAGCTGAAACTAGGTAGGTCATGACTCAGGCATGTGTCCAGGTAGGAAGTAAGATCCTATCCTAAAAATAACTAGTGAATAACAGTGCTGAAAACCAGCCTAGCAAGTAAGACGCCCTGAATTTAAATGCCAGGAGCCCCAAACTTAAAAAAATAAATTAATGGAACATTTGAAAACAATGAAATGGTAAATACCACCTTAATGCTCAGCTACTGAATGTTTTTGTTAGACATGCTTGACTTTCTATACTGAAATGAGGTTTGGCCTTGAAAACAGCTCTATCCAGTGATGCTTTTATTGTTCAAAACATTTCTGTAATTTCTCACAAAAGCCCATTTGAAAGAACAAACTCACTTATTGTTTTGTTTTTTGTTCATTTTACAAAGTGTTATTTTCCTTTGATTTTTGAGAAAATTATTTTTAAATAACTTGAAGTTAAATATTTAAGAGATGATTACTTAAGCTGAATGTTTATAAGCCTGTTTCAAAATAGCAAAATTTTAAACAATGCAACCATCCTACTACTCTGGATGTTTGAAATACTTTACAGGCTCTGTAAGTAATGCTCTATAATTAACCAAGAAATGAATCCAATCTTACTTGAGCAATTATCCAAAGAAATTATATCCAATGTACATAGGAATTGAGAACTGTATTGCTCAACCCATGGAAGAGTAGGCTTACATCTGTGAATGTGAAAACATTAACAGGGGAGACAAAAGCGGGATCACTGTCCAAGGCTGGTCTAGGTAAAAAAGCATGACATCCTATCTGAAAAGTAGCTAAAGAGCTAGAAGTGTAGCTGCAGTGGTAGAGCAAGACTAAGTTGTAGCAAGTGATAGCAAATGACAGCAAGTTTGAGGCTCTAAGTTCAAATACAAAAAAATAAATAAAGCAAATACATGATCTCATGTGTATCTCTTCTAAAATTGGAGCCTACTAGTGCAAAATTTAGTATTATAAGTAGTAGTATACTTTTACAAATTAGCGAGATTGTGTTGAGGTGTTGAATTAAGGAACACATTACACATACCAGACAATAATAACAACAGCAAAGGAATCAGGTTCTAAACCTGATTTTGAATTTTATTACGTGTGACCTTAGATCAGTTACACAATCTCTCTAGCCCTGGCCCTGCCTCTACTGTAAAACAAGAAGAGTAACACTTCACTGTGGAAGCATCATAAAGATAAAACATAATATGGCAAGAGCAACAAAAAGTCACTCCTGACACAAATTCCTGTTTTATAGCTGATAGCCCACGGCCTTGACAACACTGTTATTATTTCATTATCAACAGACTAGATTCACAAAAAGTGAAAGAGACTGAAGAAACATGAGCTTCTCTTCTTACCCATAAGTATAATATCAGGGTTCCTCTTCTTAGCTTCCTTCATTAACCACCACTCATAGCCTCGAAAATAATTCTCATCTAATGTGTAGTGCATGTGAGAGGGCTCAGTTCCATCTGAATGTGGAGGAACAGAAAGAAAGGAAATAGTTTATAATGGTGCCACACACACACACACACAAAGCAGTGTTCAGGTTCCAATCCTAATACTAGACAAGTAAGAATAATCTTATATGAATGATATATTATTTCCTTCATTTTCAAAGCACATTAAAGGTCTTAAATAACAGAATTACAACTTTACATTAAAAGTAGCATTAATAAAACTGAGATCACCTCAAGTAACCAAAGGAGATACAGATAGAGATAGAGATAGAGATTCAGCTGGACCTTGACCTTTCAAAGACATTCCAAATATGAAGAATATATGATATATAATAATATATAAGAAAACTGAGATCACCTCAAATAACCAAAGGAGATAGAGATAGAGATAGAGATTCAGCTGGACCTTGACCTTTCAAAGACATTCCAAATATGAATCCCTGAACTTCTGAGATCCTATTCTCTGCAATCTTATTCTTATTACACCTTATAACATAAAATCTATAGACTACCTTGATATAATAAATTTCCAGAAAAAAGGAACTAGTACACATGTCAACTACAACAATAACAAAATTCCAAGCTAACATCCATAGTACATGCAACATCATTAAGCTCAGAGACAGGTAACTGACATCAAAGTCTTCATATGTTTTCATACTTCACAAACCTCTGTCCTTGGCTTTACCAAAAAACTGATACATTTCTTCTTAAAGGTAAATATCAGAATAGACAAGAACTGCTTTTGCTTAGGGATATCTACTTCTAAATAATTTCAGCAAAAGAAGCTGGCCAGACATCTTATAGGAGCTAAGGAAAAGTTTCTATTATAGGAGCTTCCTTTGATTCCGATTTACATTTTTTTTCTTCCAACATAAACACTCAATTCTGGAGGTGAGACTAGTCACTGACCTAACTAACTTCATTTTGTCCCTTTCTGACTCCATTCTGCCTCTTCCCCTTTTTTTGCTTCTGAGTTCTCTCCTCAGTCATGTCTCCTGTGGCTAGTTACCTTGGATTCTAAGAACAGGTATATAATTAATAAACATCAGTAGCAGGAGGCTGGCTACTAACACAAGAGGGTTGGGCTAATAAAGAGGATGAAACAATACCACCAAAATAGATTACTTGCAACTATGAAAATATTAAAAATAAACATTTTTATGACAAGGGGCCAAAACTACCCCCAAGGAACAATGAACCCTGCAGAACAGATGGTGGGAGGAACTCAATTCGGCTTCTCATGAGCACTTCTTCACAGCTCTGTAGAATCAATCCTGAGTTAGTGTCAACCTACCCATAGTCTGACCAACTGTTCCCAGCTATGCAAAAAAAGCCTCTAGCTATACAAATGCCCTCAACTCTTGCTTTGTTCTCCTTTTAATAAAATCTTAAATTCCCTGTCAATCCCTCAAAAACAGTTTCTGCTTCACCTTTCCTGTTCTTCCTAGTATGGCCGCACTCTTTGTTTGACGTAATATGGCAGGTGACTGAGCCTATTCCATTGGGCCTTTGAAAGCCAAGCCCTTCACCCTAAAAGTCTACTGAATACCAACACACAAGTAGACAGAAGATACTCTATAGTTAAGATAGATATAAGGGAATCTGACCTACAAATATTAAGCTATATCTAATTATTAAATTATTTTATTTTCTTCTGGGCAAACAGGAACCAATGAACTACTAAGTGGTAACAGGTACTACACTCAACATGGTGGCCATAAAGACTGAAGATTTATGGTTAAAAAATAATATTGTTAAAGCTGTAACTCTAAAATACAGATAACTTACATTTTTACAACGTACTTTTAAAGTTAACAACACTACATGCTCAAGACTAAATTCAAATCATTTTTTAACTTCTCCATAAACATCTCAAATTGTCCCTCTACTCTATTGTATAAAGTTTTTAGAAAACTATGCAGGTGTTGATTCCTGATTACCCAAACTAAATAAGCAACCTGAAGTCTGAATACTTTTGGAAAATTCATAATTTAATAAAATTTTTGAGTAACAAGAGGGAAAGGAAAACATAAGAACCTGCTAAGCAGCAATCAACCTCAAAAGAACTGGTATTATTACAAGGCTGATATCTTATTCCACAGGTTCAGGGTGGATGAAAATGCTGGGGTAAGAACTCTATTTCCCAAAAGCTCCTACCTGTTGTTTGCCCATCACCGCCTATTTCCACTTTCAGAATATGCAAAGAGGCACCAAAATTTGGCTGTGGAAAGAAGTAACAGTACTGTCACTGTGCTACATCGGATGAAACTTCAAGACAATTATCAGTAACTGCCTTGGGCTTTACAAGTGAGAAAACAAAAGCAAAACTTGCAATGGCAGCCTATTCCAGAAGTTATTTGCCATATTTTTCTCAAATGTAATGCTGATCAATTTTAAAGCTGAAATTCACCATAAACTTTCTACATTATCACATTTGATCAAATAATTATTTTTAATTACCTTAAAGAGATAATCCAATATTTCAGAACGAAAGGGCTCTGGGTAACTGACTAAAAATCGGGAGGTTGCCTAAAAAAAGAAAAAAAATCAAAAGTATAAATAAATAAAATCAAGTCATAAATAGTTGCCTAAAATTTTCATACCTACCATCTGGAACATCCATACCTGGCTACCTCTTAGACAAGTACAGTTCATTTCCAAAGTTGCTGGGCAGAATTTGCTTTGCCAGTCCTTGGATAATTAGAGCTCGTGTTTTTCCAGCAGCTAATTGTTCTGGCCTGAGAGTCTTAAACATCATTACTATAAACTTGGCTTGAAACTTAAGACATTCTATGCTAGGATCATTTGTCAACAATAGCTTGGGGCTGAAACAAATTCTACAAGCAGCAATGCTAAAAGGAAACTTGTCCCTCCTTCTCCATCTATTATTATTAAGAATGATCCCTACAGCCAGGCAGCATGCACTAAGGAAATCGTAAACAAGATCAGCACCAGGAAGAATGGAAAAACATATACTGCGAGCATTGGGGCAATACCCATTCATACCTAGACTATGACAGATGACAGTTTTACAGAGAGAAATCACAAAACTAGCAAAAATCTGTTCTTTTTGGTGAGCAAGATAAGCAAGGGAAATAAAAGGTAGATTTTCAACAGGAACAGAAGCCTATCCTACACTTGGAAACCAGATAGGGCCCTATGTTCAAACTATTGACTTGCCAGGTAAATGCCAGGAGCCAGTTACTTAATGTTTATGGACTCAACCTTCCATTCTACACTGTCATACCTAGACATGAGTAGTGCCCATATCTAGTCTTTCACACTCAGAACTTCTCAAGTCCCTGACACTGAGTCACAGACTCACCTCATGTAGCTCAACACATCCTGCAGTGCTCCTGTAGGAGCACTTCTGCTCCTGCTCCTGCTTTTGCTATCTTACTAAAAAAATAAATATCATTGCAGCTGGGAAGCAGTGGCTCACTTCTGTAACATTAGTGACTCAGAAAGTCACAAACTGAGGGTCACTGTTGGAAGCCAGCCGCGCAGGAAAGTCTGTGAAACTCCAATTAACCAACAAAATCCAGAAATGGAGCTGTGTGGCTTAAGTTATAGAGTATTAGCCTTGAACAAAAAAGCACAGGAAGACTCTAGCCCCTGAGACCATCATAACGGAAGAAAAAAAAAGTAACATTGGCCTGAGTTCTCCATCTCATCAAATTTCTCATCTCCCTCAGTTAACAATGATCCTAAATAATCATCTCAAGTTCATTTCGACTCTTCAACTCCACTGATGTAACTTAGGCGCTCCCCTTATTAGAATAGGGTACCATCACTGTCTGATGTACTTCCCTCAAAACTGTTTATCACATTAATATTCCCAAAGCAATAATAATCATTAAACCCTCTTCTTACACCTGATAAGCCTTGAAAACATTTGAAATCTTTTGAAAGATTTCAAAATTACTTTCTCCACCCTTCCCTCTCAACTTTTGTTAACTTCCTCTTCCCTAATCTCCAAAATTACTGGGCCAGAAATTATACTCACTTATATTTACCCTTTGCAAAGCTCTACCAGGCAAGTAGAGAAATTAAGTAACCTGCCAAGTATTTTAAGTTTCCATAAAGTGGCAAGTGATAAAATGTACACAATAATTTCTGGGACCTGAATTCTTCATTACTATCAAAATGTTTCCCTATGATACTGGCAACTAAATGAGAGCCTTTTATAACACTATTACATACTGCATTAGGCGTCAGAGACTAACAAAAATGTTTTGTTTGGGAGGAGGGGTGCTAGTCCTGGGCTTGAACTCAAAATCTGGGTATTGTCCCTAATCTTATTTTGCTCAAGGCTTTTGGTTCTACTACTTGAAGCACCATTCTGCTTCAGGCTTTTTCAGTAGTTCAGTGGAGATCAGAGTCTCGGGGACTTTCCAGCCTGGCTGGCTTTGAACCACAATCACCAGATCTTAGCATCTTGAGTAACTAGAATCACGGGCATGAGCCATGGACATTCATTTTAACTGGTATGCAAACACAATGCTGCCATCATTCTCATTATTTATTGGTCTTCTGGCTTTCCTATTCTTATTTTTTTATTTTAAGAATCAAGTTGAGCTAAATAAATACAAATTTGACTTATACATCAAATATATCACAGTAAAGATCAGAAAGGTTGAACCTCATTATCTAAGAGATTCTTAAAAGCTGCTTTTTGTTAAGAATCATTAACTCCCACAAATTAACTGAGAGCAGGACAAACTAGGTACACTAAACTTTTTTTTTTTTAATTCCATCTCTTTCCTTTTTCTCTTGCAGTAACTTTTTGCAGCCATTTTAAAATCCAAGAAGAAAACTAGCTTTCAGGATCAAAGACTCTGGTAATGTCTATCTGACCAATCCTGGGAGGATGGACCATCAGAGCACTTCTGAGGCCAACTCTGACCACCTCAGAACCCATCTGTGACTTGAAACTATTTGATCTTTGCATACCTCCTCACCCCCTACCTACCACCAATTCTACTCAACCTAAGGCAAATGTCTGCATGGAGACTTACTGACATACTGTCAGTGAACTTCTTGTCATGTAATAAATCTCTTGACTCTTCACCATATCTCTTTGAGGTATAGAGGCAAGTGGAGACCCTGACAGGTGAAACTCCTGGAGTGTGGGCCTTGGGTCCCAGTTTCAGCTATATGAAAGATTTAACTAGTTCAGAGATAGAATATATATTCATATATACTTGCATGTATATGAATGCTAATACTGAAAAACCAATGCATTAGCTCACTGCTTATAACTAGAAATTGAAGCTAGTTTAAAAAAAAAATCAAGAAAGCACCATCCCCCCAAGAGGTTATCTGTGATCCAACTGCAGGCTGAATTGCAGCACATAAGCCTTCAGGTTTGTTCTGAGTTGAATTGAAAGATGTAAGGTCCCTCTCATTGAACCCAATAAAACCAGCAACTTTTAAGAGTTGAGCCTTAACGTTCTCAATCAAAATTAGCACTACATGTGATCTGAGGTACAAAACAAAGAAAACCTTGTCCAAGTATCTGACAGCATAAATCTCATGGGGCAAAAGAAGTTGCAAATAAAGTGGCAAAACAAAGATAAGGGTAACAAAGATAAGGAAAAATACTCCAAGAACAACAAAGGCAAATGTCTGGACTAAGACTTAATGACATACTATCTTTCAGTGAACTTCTTGTCATGCAATAAATCTATGACCCTTCACCCTCTCTCTTTATTTGAGGTATATGGCAAGTGGAGACCCTGACATGTGAAACTCCTGGAGTGTGGGTCTGGGGTCCCAGTTTCAGTTATATGAAAGAGTTAACTATTTCAGAGATAGCATATATTCACATTTATTAATACACATTTACATATGTATGAATGTTAATACTGAGGAACCAATGATTATTAGTTCACTGCTCATAACTATGAATTAAAGCTATTAAAAAAAAAAAGTTCCAGAGGCCACATTGGGTAAATTAAGGAAATATTTACATCTAAAGCTACAATAACCTTGGAATTTCCTTTTCAAACAAGCCATATTTAATCCCAATCGCCATAACCAAGACCAGGAACACAGGCCAGCTACCTGCACAGTTACCCTAGTTAACTATTAGAACAGAACCCCCCCCCCCCGCCCCGCCTCCCACCAGGGACTATGAACGAAGGAGATCCCATAACCTAGAGGCTGGCGAGTAGTGTGGGCTGTGGCTTTGTGGCATGGGATGAGAGGATCCAGACGAAAGCACTACCACCTGGTTATGTCTCTGTGGATGTAAAATCAGGGAGGGAAAATCTGAGCGTGTCTTTGAGTCTGGAAGAAGCATCTGGAGTCTTCGGGAACAGGACCGACTCCCCGCGTACACACGGGTGGCGGGAGGCGGACACCTGCCCTGGCGGGCCCGCGGGGCCTTCCCAGAGGGGCCACACCTGCAGCTGGCAGTTCCCACGACCCCGGCCGTCGGGGCGGCGCCGGCGGCGGGGGCCGGGGACGGGAGGGCTCGGGGTACCCGGCCTTCTTCCTCCTGGCCACACGGGACCCAGCCACCAGCACCCCAGATGGAGCCTGTCCCGCGGAGGGGAGACGCCGCGCCCCTTCCCCGCGTCCCGGCCCCCATTCATTCCCCCCCATCCTCTACCTCCCAGCCCCGGGACGCTCGTGCGTTCCGTCCTAACCGCCTCTGGAGCTATCTAGAGCCCTCCATGCCGCGGGGCGCGGCGGAACGCGCCCACCGCCGGCCGCGAGGCGCCCGCGAGCCGAGAGGGGAGGGATCGAGCCCCCGGCCCGCCGCGGGGGCCGACGGGACGGGGCGGGGCGGGGCGGGGCGGGCTCGGCGGCCCTCCCTCGCGCCGCGCGCCCCCGGCCCGCTCCTCCGCAGCCCCGGCGCTCCCCGCGCGCTCGCGCGTCCCGCCGCTCACCCCGCCGCCGCTGATCGCGCCGATGCCGTCGAACTCCAGGCCCAGCCCGTCGGAGTCGTCCAGCACGTACGCGCCGCCGGGCGCCAGCAGCGCGCACAGCAGCAGAGGCACCGCGGCGCGGCCCGCCGAACCCGCGGCGGCTGTCATGTCTTGGATTCGGCGTTGCCGGGAAGCCTCCCGTGGGCTCACAGCCATTGTGTGGGTCATATGACTCCAGCGCCTGGGGAGGCGGGTCAGGCCGCCGCCATGATGGAAAAGGGCAGGAGGTGGCTGACGCCCACGCCGCCATTTTGACTACGGGCCGCGTTTAGCCCGAGGATGTATGGGGAGGGGAAGTGAGGGGAGAAAATCTGGTTTTTCCTTTAGTTGGGTTGCGAGTGATTGGGTAGACGTGGGCCTTCACGTTTCTAAGCCACTCCGTTGGTCTTCACCCGATGGAACATGGTAAATAGCCAGGGTCCCCCTGAGGATCAGAGCCATGCGTGGCCCCACCATGACCTACCCCAGTCTTGGGGTGCACCCACCACGTGCCACTGAACGGCAGAGCAAGACGAACCTCTCCCCACCACCTACTAGGCAATTATGACTAAGGCGTTTCACCTCTGGAGTTCAGGCCGTCCATTTGTAAAGGAGAGACCGATGAAGTGCATCAAGTTTTAGTCATTCCTCGCTCAGAGTACCCAGCACCACACAGTAAGTGACCATCTGTACCAGGGCAACATTGACAGCCACCCATTCCGGGGACCCCCCCCCCCCACACACACACACCTAGCAAAGGAGCGGAAGGCAGGACACATAAAATAAGGCTTTGAATGTACTTCTCTTTCCACATGTAAGGTCATCAGGAACAAAAAAATAAATGGATTATTCTTCTCTTTGTGTTAGTCTGTATTTTTTGTTATTTAAAGTATGAATCTGTGTAAATTTTTTAGTGTATGTTTTGGTTTTGCTTTGGAGTTTTGGGTTTTTTTGTTTGTTTGCTTGCTTGCTTTTTTGTTTTTGGTCTATAATCACCCAAACCCAGATCTAATGCAGCTGATTCCCCTACATGAGTCAGGATAGAAAGCAAGTCTGCCTCCTTCATGAATAAAGGAGCCAGACCCTCCCTCTTTTGCTATCAAGCAGCAAAAGTTTTGACAGTGACTATCTCTATCAGCCAGTTCCTTGAATCTGCATCTTCAACTTGGAAAGGTAACCAATGTACTAGAAGCTGAGATGGAACCCTAACAGAATGGAGAGGAGGCAGCCACACAGAAAAACCATCAGAGGCGACCTCAAGAGCCCAGCACAGCAGAGTCAACAGTATCATCCCAGTCTGAAGGCCCAAGCAGGGTGACCTAGCTGTCTTTTGATCCTGACTCAAACCAATTCAATAATCCTGGTTCCAATGCTTGATGCTGCTTCGTCAGCCCTGTGTCATCTCCTGAATGCTCACCAAGTCATTCATTTTTCTGTCCAGGGCAACCACAGATAGTTTCTGTTGCCTACAGCAAAGAACTTTGAGACATTCACACCTACGTAGTTCTAACCACTCATTTGCTAATGAGATCATAGCAAAGAATTCTCAGCCTCTGTGTGTGCATTCTCCCCACTTTAAAACCTATCAGTAATTGTTACTGCATGGATTTACTTGAAGGATGGAACTGCAAGAAAGTTTGTGATCCTCCTCTATTGTACTTGTGAGATGTTCATTCCCCTTTGGATTCTCAATACCCATTAGGAGTCCACCTAGCTTCCAAAGCCCCAGGCATAAAGAAACTGACAGTTTAAGACAATTTTGTGTGTGGGTCTGGTGTGAGTGGTGCTGGAGATAGAACCCATAGTCCACACTTGCTAAGCAAGCAATCTACCAGTAAGCTACAATCTCAGCCCTGAAGATCTTTTTTTAAATACCTAGTACAATCCTGTCCAACAGAAATATAATGCAAAATGCATAACCAATTTAAAATTTTCTAGTAACTACATTAAAGTAGGAAACATGTAGTTTTAGGTATATTTTATTTAACCACAAATATCTAAAACATCATTTTATTGTATTCAACGTAAACATTCATTTTGTGCTCTTCACATTTCTTGAGTGTATTTTGTGCATATGAAACAGCTGAATTTGAATTAATAGTCTTTTTGGTATGCAAAGATCACATGATTTCAGTGACAGATAAGTGTCTCTGTAGTTTGCTATAGCTGTATGACAACATACCACAGACTGAATGGCATTTCTCACTGAAAGCTAGAAGTCCAAGAAGAGAGTGTAAGTTTGGTGTCTCCTGAAGTCTCTCTCCTTAGTTTATGGATGTGTAGATAACTTTCTTCTGTGCAGATAACTGATGTCTCTTTGTATGTCCAATTTTTTTCTTTCTTAAGTTAATCTTTAATTGATAAATATCCTTAATTGGGTCATGCGTGACCCAATAGCATATATACATTATGGAATGGCTAAATTGGGATACTTAACATAGGAATTGTCCCCACTATTTTTGTAGTAAGAACACTTAAAAGTCTACTCTCAGTAATTTTCAAGAATACAATAACTTTTAGCTATCACCCTATACAATAGTTCTCTTGAACTTAATTCTCCCATGTAACAAATTTTGTATCTTTTGGTCTTATCTCCCCAAAACATCTTTACCCCCAATTGCTGATAACCACAAATCTTAATTTCTACTTTTGTGTGTTCAACTCTTTTAGATTCTTCATATAACTGCAGCATTTGTCTTTCTGTGCCTTGTTTTTGATGTCCACCAGATTTGTCTATGTTATCACAGAGGGAAAAGTTCCCTGACTTCTTAAATCTAAATAGCATTCATTATATATATATATATATCACGTTCTATTTATCTGTTCATCCAATGATATACTAATAGCTCTGGATATTGCAGCAATGTGTGTGGTGGTGCAAAGATCTCTAACAAATTGTTAGAAATAGCATGGGGCCGGGCGCTGGTGGCTCACGCCTGTAATCCTAGCTACTCAGGAGGCTGAGATCTGAGGATCACGGTTCAAAGCCAGCCCGGGCAGGAGAGACCGTGAGACTCCTATCTCCAATAAACCACCAGGAAACCGGAAGTGGCGCTGTAGCTCAAGTGGTAGAGCGCTTGCCTTGAGCTGAAGAGCTGAGGGACAGCGCCCAGGCCCAGAGTTCAAGCCCCACGACCGACAAAAAAAAAAAAAAAAAAAGAAATAGCATGGGATGTTGGAGTGTCTCACAGGAATAAGGACACCAGCTGTAAAGGAACTTGACAAAGTAAAATTTACTTCCTCAGAAGCGTGCACTATCAACTAAAAATCTGTCAAGCCAACACACAGAACAGGGAGGGTAACCTTTTTATCCCTAACCCAACAGACCCTGCCCCTCTGCTCTTATTGGCTGAGCTCGGGTTCACAATCTGCAAAATAAAAGATGTGTCTTAATTAATAGGATGCAATTAAAATCCGAGGAGCTTCTAACAAGATGTCTTATTAAAGTACTCAGGAAAAGGATGTAACTAAAATGTAATTAAGAAGAGCCAATCCACCTAGCCAAAGCAGAGCCCATGAGAAAAAGTTTTCTCAAGATTAACAAAAAGAAGCACACTACTTTGGCAGAAAAGAGCTTTTCTCACAAAGCTGATTCTACTTCATTTGGATACATTCCCAGTAGAAGTATTGCTGTATCATATGGCAGTTCCATGTTAATTTGTTTTGAGAATTCCTTGTAGTTTTTCATATGGCTGTATCAATTTATATCTTCCCTCTCTTTGATAATAGCCATTCCATCAGACATGAAATCATACCTCAAAAAATTGCAATTCTAATTTGCATGTCCCTGGTGACATGTGATGTTGATATATGTATATGTATGTATAGATGTGTGTATATATATATGTGTGTATATATATAGATAGATGTTAGTCTCTTAGATATATGGTTATTTTCTCTCATTCTATAAGTTGTCTCTTTATTCTGTTGATAACTTCCTTGGATAAGCATATGCTTTTTTTTGGTCAGTCATGGGGCTTGAACTCTGGGCCTGGGTGCTGTCCCTGAGCTCAAGGCTAGCACTCTACCCCTTGAGCCACAGTGCCACTTCCAGTTTTCTAGGGCTTTATTCAAGATAAGAGTTTCACAGACTTTCCTGCCCAGGCTGGCTTTGAACTGCGATCCTCGTATCTCAGCCTCTTGAGTAGCTAGGATTATAGGCGTGAGCCACCGGCACCCAGCCACACATATGCGTTTTACCTTTTTAGTTAAGCTGATCCCATCTGCCTTGTTTCATTTCTCTTGTCTGTGCATCTTTAAGATCATGGTCAAAAACATATTGTCCGTTCTGTTGTCAGCAAATTTTTCCTCCAAGTCTTCGAGTAGTTATATAAGTTCAAGTATTTCATTTAAGTTTCACTTCATTTTAGATTTATCTTTATAAGGTATGAGAAAAAGGTTTAATTTTTTTTTTCTTTTTTTTTTTTATTGTAAAGCTACTATACAGAGGGTTACAGTTACATGAGTGAGGTTATGAGTACACTTCCTCTTGAACATTGTTACCCCCTCCATTGTTTTCCCCCTACCATCCCCTCCCAAAAGGTTTAATTTTTATGCATGTAAATACCCAGTTTCTTAATATTACTTATTCAAGACATTGTCTTTGTCATTGTATGCCCATAGTACTTTTGTCAAAAATCAACTGATAAGAAATGCAGCAATTTATTTCTGGACACTCCAGTCTGCTATACTGGTCTCTGTGTGTTTCTATGTTAGTTTCAAGTCATTTTGATTATTACAAATTTGCAGTAGATTTTGAAGTAAGATAGTGTGATTCTTCAGGCTTTGTTCTCTTTGCCCAAGATTGCTGTTTAGAGTCTTTTGTGGTCTCATACACATTTTAGGATTTTTTTTAATGTCTGTGGAAAAAATGTTATCAGGATTTTGAGTGGCATTACATCTGTAGATAGTTTTGGGTGATTTGGACATTTTCACAAAGAAATAATATTTCAACCCACCAATAGGATATTTTTCATTTATTTATAACTTTAATAGTGTCATTAATGTTTCATAATTTTCCATGTTCAGTTCTTTCATCATTTGGTTTTACTTTATTCCTACATTTAAAGTTCATTTAGAATTTATTTGCTGCTATTGTAAATGGAATTATTCACTTAACCTTTTTGCAGATAGTTTATTGTTAGTACATAGATGCTCTATGGTTTTTTGTTGTTGCTTTTATGTTCTATTACTTTACTGAACTTATTTACTGGTTCTAACAGGTTTGTGGGGAATTTTTAGAGTTTCTTATATGGATGGCCATGTTATCTGCCAAAAGGGACAATTTAAGTCATCAATTCCAGTTGGATGCCTTTTATGTGTTTTTCTCTTGCCTCGTTGCTCTGGTCAGCACTGCACTACTATGTTGAATAGAACTGACAATAGTAGGCATCTTTATTTTATTGCTGATTTTAAGGAGAAATTTTCAAATTTTTACCACTTACAGTGCTGCTGCTGTAGGCTTATTATATATGGCCTTTGTCATATTGAAGAACATTCATTCTACACCTAATTTATTGAAAGTTTTATCACAAAAGAATGTGAATCTATCATATAAATTCCTATATCTCTTGGGGCAATAGAATGTGACAGATTACACTCATGATTTCTGTCTATCAAACTACATTTGTATTTCCAGAATAAATCTCACATGATCACAGTAAATGATTTCTAGTTGAATTTTATTTACTGCATTTTGTTGAGGATTTTCTTTTTTTATTCTTTTTTTTTTTTTTTGATTGGTTGTGGGGCCTGAACTCTGGGCCTGGACACTGTCCTTCAGCTTGTCAGCTCAAGGCTAGCGCCCTACCACTTGAGATACAGTGCCACTTCCAGTTTTCTGAGTGGTTTATTAGAGATAAGAGTTTCATGGCCTTTCCTGCCCGGTGACTTTGAACCATGATCCTCAGATCTCAGCCTCCTGAGTAGCTAGGATTACAGGCATGAGTCACTGGCACCCAGCTTGCCCCAGACTTTTCTATTCCACTCGGTTGCTTCCAACTTTTGCAACTCTAAACTCACACAATGCTCTTTTCCCTTTTCCTAACTTCTGGTCAAGAATGTCCTCTCAATACAAAATGGTTCATTGAATGTGAGGGCTGGGTACAAAGAAATGAGGCTGAGAAGAATGTAGTATTTCAAAATCTCTCCTATTTAGATGCTTTCACAAGTGAAATTGCGCCAGACAGAGGATGTGGCCACACAAAGGACCATTCATCAGCAGAACGGGACCCCAGCACTGTCTGCCCTGTGGAGAAGTTGGAACCAGGCAGATCCACATTCTTTTCCTCTGTTCCTGTGTGCAGCCCACTGCCCTGCGGATGACCAAAGTCTGATGCCTACCAGAAAACTGAATGGACAAGAAGATAGACTCCATAATGCCCATGATCTAAACAGCTGAAAATTAGTCTGGTCTTACCTTTAACCTGATCAGGTGTCACTGGGCCTCTGGGCTCTGAAATGTCCATCTATTCATCAATGTTATAATTAAAAATTAAAAAAAAAAAAAGATGTAGCACTACGAATTTTTTCTGGGCTACCCAAGAAGCCAATTTGAAACCAGCTGCTAGATTTCTTATTGTGTGAAATTATCACATTTTTATAGTAGGTTAGTCATAATTTTTCTCCTGTTTAATAAAGGGAAGTTAAAGTTTAGTTGTATTTCTTGTGTTCTTTAACTACATCCTTTTTTTTTTTGAACAGCAAAATACATAGGTATTTCCTATTAGTATAAAAATACTTTTTTTCCCTAAAAGCAGAAGTAGAGTCTATTTAGATAAAACAAGATGCTGTGTGAGTCATAAAACACCCATAAATAGAAACTACAGGGAAGCAGATGTGAAAAAAAAAAAACAAGTAAAAAATGAAAAGTTTGGATTGTAGTCATGAGTAAACTAAAGCCATTACTTTCATGTTTGTAAATGTTTAGAAGTTTTGTTACTAAACTTCCATATTGTGTATTAATTCTTCATCATTTCAATAATACCCTATTTTGAATTTTAAGTCACTGTATACTTTGCAAACTCTTGGGCACTTTACACTTCTTTTCTGCCATTACTGGTACTTGATCCCAAGACTCTCACTCTCTCACTTGTCCTTTTGCTCAAGTGGCACTCTACCACTTGAGCCATACTATGCCTCTGGCTGGGCTGGTTTTGAACTACAGTCCTCAGATCTCAACCTCTTTAGTAGCAAAGTTTACAGGCACAAGCCACCAGCACCTGGTTAAATGTGTTACATTTTATTCTTGTCAAGAAAGACCCACAAAAAAAAGTTTCAGGAGTGGGTAGCAAAGCCCAACAAGAAATGTACTCATTACCTTACTAATGTACAGCATCTTTACAACAAAATAAAAATTTTTTTAAAGTTCAGAAACGTTGATATTCTTCATACCCTGACTAACTCCAAAATGGAAAGATCTTGGCTATATCACAAGTTCTCCTTTCCTATCCCTGGGTAAAGCCAAACCACCAGTATCAACCTTTACTCTCTTTACAAACACACAGCCAATTAACTCTAAAATTAAGCTTAAAATTTCCATCCCAATGGGCTGGGAAGGTGGCTCAGTGGTAGAGCGCTTGCCTTGCATGCATGAGGCCCTGGGTTTGATTCCTCACCACCACATATACAGGGGGAAAAAAAGCCGGAAGTGGCGCTGTGGCTCAAGTGGTAGAGTGCTAGCCTTGAGCTGAAGAGCTGCGGGACAGCACCCAGGCCCAGAGTTCAGACCCACGACCGGACCCAAAAAAAAAAAAACGCATCCCAAGTCAATTCCTGCCTTGTAAACTAATAGTCTCCCCTCAATTTAAATAAAAATTTATGATGACACATTTGAAGACTAATGTCTACCTTTTTACATTTCAAAAGTATGAAGTTCTAGGAGCTCATTTCACTTTGTATTAAACCACTTATAGACCTAGCAATAAATTTTAACTTATCAAATCACTGCAAGAGTTTTTTTAAATACCTATATTATTCTCAAGTGAAATTTCAAGGTTCATGCAATTATTTGCCTAAGCCAACTTGTTCAACGGGCTTTAGGGGAAAATAAAAGAGAAAATGGTTCTCCAATATTATATAGCTGAGCCAAATAATCCCTCAAAAGGAAAAACCATAGGACTACAAAGTTGGTCACCCTAACCTCCTCCAAACTCCATTCTCATACTGCTATTAAACCACACAATATCCACTATAAATCACCCAACCCCCATTCCTCCTCTTATGTCTTGTTCCCAGGAAATTGATCACCTTGACTTCATCTACAATACCCTGCCCTATCTCACATATCCAAGCAAACTCATCTTACTCTACTTGTACATTACATTTTTTAGAGTCATCTGCATTTCCATTGCATCCTGCTTATAATTGAATAGCCCTCCTTCACTTGATAGTTTCCTCTTTGAGTAATAGCCAAGTCCTATCCATTTCCCACTATAATGTCCTGATGATATGATAGACAATGATTGAGTCTAGATTCTGTTAAGAAAAACATGTCTAATGTATTTGTAATAAAGACATAAAGAGAAAAGGACATAAAAAGTACTGCAGTAAATGACCAATTAAAAGGGTTACAAATAATTTAAGAGACTCCCTTTCCTTCAAACTTGGTCAATGTGAGGCTTCTCACTAGGGCTCAGCTTCCTCATTGGTTCGTGACGAAGTGTGAGTGCAATTTCCTGCCCCCTTCACAATGCTGGTTTCTTTTCTTGATGCAAGCCGATTTATCAGCCTCCCCGGTCAACAAAACCATCACTCCAAGAAACAGGTAAGTAGAAGATTAGAAACATTCAATAAGGTTTACAAGTGGAGAGGCTTCTTTGCCATGCTTATGGTTGCTAACATACCCATGTGGAAACTAGAATTGAAGAGAATGATCATGGCATCTTCGCTGGTTTAGGCTGTGTAAGTGTTGAAATACCGCGCCTGATGAGAAAGGAAAAGAAATGAGGAAGACACATGGTTTCCTCCACTTTGTCAGTGGTAAAAGGATGTCAAAATTTAAATTTAGAGCAAGTTAGGTAAAACTATGGATATACAAAAGGAGGATGCTTGTCCTCCACATCCTTCTCAGGAAATGGTATAATTGGCAAGCTGCGTGATTTAGGAAGAAATCAACCATCTCCTAGCTACAAAGCTCTCTAGCACTGTTTTGCTCTTCTGTACAATAATCTACAAAAATACTTTTTATATCCATCAAGAAATGTAAAATTGGAAATGATGTTTCCAATATCAATAAGTACTGATTGTGATCATAAGTTTCTAAGCCACTATCACAATGTCTGAAACAGAGAGGCTTGATAAGCAGCTAATAAACTGGTAAATGAAAGTTAGCATTTTTCTTTTTTAGAACAGTATAGGAAGGCCGTTTCTATGAGTCATCAGGGATTTGTATTATTTTTTAGAGCTAGCTAAGATTAGAGATGCTTTAAGATACTATAGAATATCTTTGATGGAGGACATTTGGTTAATAAAAATTACAAGAAGCATAGAAAGGATCCAAATTTCTTAGTGCTGGTTTTAAATACATTTTTTATTAAAATTTGATTAAAGTCACCAAAGTGATATTTGAAAAGATAGCATGTATAATAGGAGTTGTTACCTGTTCCTCTGAATTTTAAGATCCATGCCCATTAAATTATGGAGTATTATATATAACCAGTAGTATCAGTGTAAGGTGTTACTACAGAAATCACACTGAGTGCTCTGCCCAAATGGTCAAAGATAATCTCCTTCCAGGAAATGTAGCAGACAGCCACAGAACAACACATTACTGACTGTCATTGACTCAACAGGAACCACTACTATATGGTAAAATTTTCCCTGTGTTGGATTCTTTGCTGAGTGGGTCGTCTTCTTTAACCTCCACATCAACCCCTATGACGTGGGTGCTAACCTACACGTTTGGAAACTGGAACTGAAGAGAAGAAACATACGGGGTCATAGATCCCTCAGTAGCTATTGAGAGCCTTTATCATTGTTGACAGAATCCAGGCTCATAATCACAAGCTTCTACTGACCCTGTGATGCAACAGCCAGGACCCTGCTTCAAAAGCCATTCAGTCCGTGGTTGTTTGGGGCAAGGCAGGAGATGATCTCAGCCGCTAAAGAAATTCATTCCACTGAGAACTTTAAACATCCCTCCTAAAATCATTTTTCTCTCTTACTTTGTTAGAGATTTTAAAAAGCAAGTGCATAACACGGGCAAAGGAGGAAGTGGCACCTGCTTGTTCATTCTCTCGGGACACTGTCGCTGTTCGGTGTTGTCGCTAGCTGCATAAGCCTTGTTGTAGAGGTGATGTTGAGCATTTATGAGAGGACTCCATCCATCCTCAGAAGCTTTCTTAATCCTTTGTGTATCTCACACTTTGCCATAGTATTCTTTACCTGTTTTGTTACAGCCTTTAGATGAGATGTTGCTTTTTATTTATTTTTGAAATTGTCTTTACGTAGTTGTACAAAGGATTTCAATTCAACATATCAGCTGATGAGTAAAACATCTTTTTATTATTCTCCTCTCTCTCTCCCAACCCCATCCATCCCTTCAATTTTCCTAGGTCCATTATCTATATATCTATAGAGATAGATATATAGATATAGATACATTGAATATTGTGACTGAATTCTCCACCCTTTCTCTCTTCATTCATCTACCCCTTCTCCTTGACTTCACTTCTGAGCCTCAAATTACAGCTTCCTATTATGCATTTTGTTACATTATAATAACAACTTGTTTAAAGGAGTTAGGCCATTGGAATACTCCCCTGCATTTACCATACTTCAGTTAATGTTTGTATTATATATGCATATAAACCCGTATATGTTTGCATCTATATTTATAAATTAGATCTAACTTTGACCCATAAAACAAAACTTACCCTTTGTGTTAAATCAAGAATGGGAGCACATTTTCTCAATAGTGATTTGTATAAAAATGTCTAGTTTTTTTTTTCCTCTGGTCCTTACAATTTAGTTCTATTTGGGAATAATCCTAGGATGGCATATTTTCTTAGCAACTTGGAAATAGTAATCTTCTGCCTTCTGCTGTTGATAGACTTTTATCACTTTAAGATTTTTCTTTTGTAGGCAATCCATCATTTCCAAGTCTTTTTTTGCTTAGTTTCTGTTTGGTTGTAAATATGTCTTTAGATTTCTATTTTAATTTGCTGTTAACCCCATCTAGGACTGACGGGCTTCATAAATGTAAGGATTTATGAATCCCTCTGAGGCAGACACAGCCTCCACCCATGCTTTTCTTGCTGCTTAGTTTGGAGATGGACTCTAGTGGACTTCTCTGAGTTTTTAGAATTATAGTCATGAGTCAAGTGCACCCAACTAAGTGCACTTTTGATATGGAATCTGATCTTGACTTTCCCATATATTTAACATTGATATTTGGTTATTTCTTTAATTCTATTTTGGAGCACACCAAGTCTCTCATCAGTTGGAACTAATCTGTTTATTTCAAAAGCACTTATTGCATTTTTTTACTTCTAGAAAGTATATGTTAATATTTTTAAATATGCATGATCACTTTTTTATATTCTCTTGCTCCTTCCTCTTCTGCTCACATTCCCTATTCTTTTTCTTTAAACATACTAAGCACACTTCTTTTGTGTTCCATATCTACTATATTTAATCTCAAAATCTATCTGGATCTAGTTTTTTTTTAATTTCTTTTTTTTTTAAGATTTTTTTTTTTTTTTTGGGTGCAGTCGTGGGGCCTGAACTCTGGGCCTGGGCGCTGTCCCTCAGCTCTTCAGCTCAAGGCTAGCGCTCTACCAATTGAGCCACAGCGCCACTTCCGGCTTTTTTCTTTTTGCTCATGTGATGCTGAGGAATCGAACCCAGTGCCTCAGGCATGCAAGGCAAGCACTCTACCACTGAGCCACCTTCCCAGCCTTTTTTTAATTTCTTATTTCTACTCAAGCTCCCAAGTTGTATTCTCTCTCCTTCTCTCTCTCCTCTCCCTCCCTCCCTCTCTCCTCTCTCTCTTTTAAGAATGTCATACTTCTTGGGATTCTTGGCAACCTAAGCTGAGGAATGCTTCCTGAAGGGAAAATTTGTATTTCTTTCTTCCAGGTGCATAGAATTCACTTGCTTTAGGCAATAAACTTATATCTTTGGTAAATATATCTCTGTGATCATTAAATAAACAAATTATTTAATGATTAAAGTTAACTAATAGATTTAATTATATGATGATTTAATAATTAAATCATTTGCTTATTTGGGTTTTCTGAGTTGACTTTTATATGAGGGGAGAAGTAAAGTCATACTTCTAAGCAAGGCATATGTACTCTATCTGCATATCAAATAGATACTGCTTCTTTGCCAAGATGCTTTGCATCCTAACCCATACAATCTTAGCTCCAGTTTTTTACTTTATAGTTGTAATATTTATGCAGATGAATGCATATACTCTTTGTATATTTTGGACATCATATACAAATGGAGTATATTCGTGCTAAACATACAACTTGATAAATTTCAGCAAGCAAAGCATACTCAGATTAGCTTCATATGATTTCCTTCACTCAGCTTTACATCTGTGAGCTTCTAAATAGGTCAGTGCATGTGGCAATAATGTGTTCATTTTCACTGATGTATAGAGTTCACTTACATTCATATACCACAATTTACTTATCTTTGCTACTGCTAAGGGGCATTAGAGATAGCAGATACTGCAAATAGTGCTACTGTGGACATTCTGATTCTGGTATGTGTTGTTTAACAAACATATGTAAATATTTTTAGAAAACATATACCTAGAAGTAAAATTGTTATATGATATGCATAAGCATAAATACTTTCCCAATCAACAAGAATGCAGTAGTCTGCATTTGGTATTTTTTGCCTTTCCTCCATTTTAGGTCTTCTGGGGTGTGTGATGGTATTTCATTGTGGTTGTGCATTTCCTTGATGACTAATGAAGTCGAGCACATTCGTTTCCTTGAAGTGGGCAGAACTATGTAAGGAACTGGCTAACTTTTCTGTGCTGTCTGCTAACATCTGTCGAGATTTTTATGTTATCTTCTGATTTGCCTCTTCCTAGGAGACAGAAGATCCTGATAACAAATGACCCCTTCCTACCTGTATAGATCCAACTTTGTGCCTCAGTTCTGTGATCCAGAAGTTCCCTTTCCTGTAGGCCAGCCAAGTGCCTCCCGAATGAGCACAGCTTTTCTGTTTATCCCCTTCATCTAACACTTCCTTTTTCCATCACACTTCTTTTCTTCTTTAGAAAGTGGTCTTTCACTTTAAAAGGCTCTCACACTTTATTCATATCTCTAGGTGCAATAACATTAGAAGGTCTAAAGACCTTCTAGTTCTCTATTTTGTTTTAAGAATGAGCTAGATTCTGGACATGGTTCTCATGTTCTGTGCAGGCAGGTCTTCTGTGCTTGGAGTTCAACAGAACTTAAAGGGAGCAGTTCTGATGCCCTGCCTCATGCTCTTACCAGTTTTTTCCTTGAAGATCCCTACTCGATAAACCACCCACCTCATGAGGAGGCCCCACTTGAATTTTCTACCTTAACTGCTAGAATAGCTTTGCCTGGTGAGAAATATCTTCTCTAATCCAACATGCAGGGGGAAATTCTTCTTTGAGTTAGGTGAAATATCTCACCTTGATTTTTATTTACTGAGGTCAACTAAGTAATTTTCTCCACTTTACATACCTTTATTGTAACTTAAAACATTTTCAACATATTTAATAAATAAAACACTGCTCCAAAATCTTAATTGTTATGAGATTCTGTGTCTTGAAAACATCTAACCTATTCTAGCTCATCTCTCATTACAGAAACAAAGACATCTTAAAATGTTGTGTCAAACTCTGAAGATAAAGCCTTACCTATTCATATTTATATGAATTTCCCAATCTCCTGCGAGACTGAAGAAGAGAAATTGGCCCAATTCTCTATGGAAGCTAAGGGGTACCCCAGCTGACCCTGGCGATTCGTCAGCATTCAGTGACAACGAACATGCAGAATCCTGCTCATTGAATTCACTTTAGCCAACTGCCCACAGCCTGGATTGTCACATCCACAAGACTGATTTGGAGAAAACTTCCCTTTGCCCACCCTTTAAAAGTGTTGATGAATTGACTAGAACATTAGAAACCAAAAGAAAATTGAATAATAAAAAAAAAGAAATCTCAGTAAATCAGAAATTGAGGTTGTCAAATGATAACAAGGTAAACCTTGCTTTCCTGGGTACCTTCTAAGAACTAATGTAAATTGCCACCACAAAAAGAAGCCATGAATAGCACGTGTGTTGAAGAGCAACATGAACTAGATCACTACTTGTTCCCAATTGTTTACACATTTGTGATTATAGTTGGCATTCCTGCCAATATTGGGTCTCTCGGTGTGTCTTTCCTGCAGGCAAAGAAGGCAAATGAACTAGGAATTTACCTCTTCAGTTTATCACTGTCAGATTTGCTCTATGCATTAACTCTGCCTCTGTGGATTGATTATACTTGGAATAAAGACAACTGGACTTTCTCCCCTGCCCTGTGCAAAGGCAGTGCCTTTTTGATGTACTTGAATTTTTACAGCAGCACGGCTTTCCTCACCTGCATCGCCATCGATCGTTACTTAGCAGTCGTCTACCCTCTGAAGTTTACTTTTCTACGGACAAGAAGGTTCGCCTTCATGGTCAGCCTGTCTGTCTGGATATTAGAGTCCATCTTTAATGCAGTCATTTTATGGAAAGATGAGACAACTGTTGAATATTGCGATGCCGAGAAGTCTAACTTCACTTTATGTTATGACAAATATCCACTGGAGAAGTGGCAGATCAACCTCAACCTGTTCAGGACATGCACGGGGTATGTAATACCTTTGGCTACCATCATGGTTTGCAACCAGAAAGTCTACCAAGCTGTGCGGCACAATCAAGCCACAGAAAACAGTGAAAAAGTAAGAATCATAAAACTGCTCATTAGCATCACACTGACCTTTGTCCTGTGCTTTACTCCCTTTCATGTGATGGTGCTGATTCGCTGCATTTTGGAACGGGAAGTGAATTTTGATGACCACAAGTCTGGAAAGCAGACTTTTACAATGTACAGAATCACTGTAGCATTAACTAGTTTAAACTGTGTTGCTGATCCAATCCTGTACTGTTTTGTCACAGAGACAGGAAGATCAGATATGTGGAATATATTAAAGTCCTGTGCTTGTAGACATAGTAGAGCACAAAGACAAAGGAAACACATGCTTTCTACATCTACAAGAGATACCATGCAATTAGAAGTCCTAGAATAGAATAAAGGGTTTTGAGGGGTGGGAAAGATTAAGGGTGCGTGGTGTGATGTAATCAAAATCCCATTTTGAAAAGGATTAGGTGTTCTATGCCAATGTTTCAGTCTTGTTCAATGGAAATATTTGTAATGTATATTGTACAGTTACTTCTTTCACTTATTAATGAGGTATGTGAAGCAAAACTTAGTATTTTCTTAGTGGCTTTGAATCAGTGCCATTAATGTTATCCATCATTGAATCTGTGGTACAGTTCTTCAGAGCTAATAAGCTGTATAGGATTGTTCATTTTTAAATCAGTAGCATCTCTGGTTTTATGATGTTTCTTGCTTTCTCTTTATGGTTAGCTTCTGTATTTCAGGTTGTCACCTATCAGTTCTATCACTGATATTTATCTGTGTCCAGAAACCTGAGTTACTAAATACTGCTTCTAAGATTATCATTCACTAATGTTTATTGAACCTACTCCTCATACAAAGGGTTGCTTTAACAACAGGGTTTACAAAAGGCATTGTCTGTGGTACCTTCATGAAGTTTCCATTCATTCAGAACCTTTGCCACCAAGCTTGGGAGATTTCTATATAAGATGAAAAAGTGAATAAGCTCTGAGCTTTGTTTGGATTTTAAATTATAGTTGAGTATATGAAAGTTGAAATTATCAGACTTATATTCAGATAAATAGTGATAGCAAAATTTATATTCAGAGGTTTCATTTCAAACGTAGAGAAGTTGGGAAGTATAAGTATACTATTTGTTTCTTCATTGTAGAAATTGTCCAGCCTCATTAAGTAGGAACCAGATAAACATTTTTCTTAAGATTTTTATCCTAATCTTTCCTCTTTTTCCTTCCATCTCACCTCTTTCTTATCCTTTAACTCCTCCACAAATGATCAGATAACAAATATCTTGATGCTGACTGTTGTGCTCCTGAGAACCCTGATAAGAAGAAACATTAATATCCTTTCACTAGTGAAAAATCAGTTCATGAATAAATGATAGTAATTTTCCACTTAGGTCTTCTGGGACAATGTGTATACAATAAAAAGCCACCTTGCTTTGGTGCATTCTTTATTCTTCACATGCTGTTGTTCATGACGTTTTTAGAAAATTAATAGGCTGTCTACATTCTGAGACATACCCACACAACACTTAGGTACTAGAGATATAGCATGCAAATGCCGAGTAATTAAAATAATATGAGCTATTTGATTAATTACTGGTAAATTATTGGCAGCATGTAAGTTGAATATGCTTAAAGGTAAAAGATTCAGAAACGACTGGGCCCACATATGGAAAGTCAGATTAAGAGCGTAACCCCAGGATGCACCACTGGCTGAAAGCGAAGATAGATCTTGAGGCCAAGAATATGCTTAACAAAAACATATGCATGAAGAGTTGTTCAGTATAACTGCTGGACTTGTCAGGGAGTTATTTCTTTAACCAACCCCTCTGGGAATATAATTAATAATATAGATAATAATAAGCTGATTCAATTGTTTTGATTGGCTATGAAAACAGACATGGCCAGTACAAATCTGGGCCACTTTAACACCCATGTTCTCGTCAGTGACAGCAGCAAAACATTGATTTAGTTGTTACAGGATTAGTGTCCAATTGAGTCAGTCACCAAAACTTCTAGCAGCCTGTCTTTTCTCTCAGAATAGAGTCAGTCATGGAAGAACTAATAAGACAGGATACCCATAGCGTTCAGGACAGAACATGGTAGGCATGATCTAAAATGACTAACATTGGACAGTTAGCTCTTTCATTATAAAAACAAAAAACTTTTTAGATTCTTCATTAAAATGTCTTATTATGAAGAAAGAAGGACCAATGGAGACAGGAATGGTGGGTGACCATAGTCATAATAGTACATGTACAGCCAAGTAATGGAACCAGGTAATTTGAGGAAATGGGGGTGGGAAGCTGGAATAAATGTCGGGAGAGATAGAAAGGGTGATAATGATCAAGAGATATCATATTCATAATTGATGTGTTGAAATGAAGCCCCTTTACACAACAAATGAAAATTTATAAAAAATAAATTTAAATTAATAAATTCCAGTTCCAATGAGCATACACTGGGGTGACAGATGAAAAGATGTCCATGCATTATCAACTCATAATCTTTTAATAACATGGAACAAGGACTAATTTAAATGGACAGTAATAACATGAACAAGGAATAATTTTAATGGACAGGCATGATTAAACCCAAGATGTCTCCTTTACCCTTGCTTTTATAGTGCCACATTGTCCTGTGTGGTAGATAACAGGGTATCAGGAAGCAGTAAGATAAGAAGCTTTAGTAACAAATCCAAAACACCAGGAATCGGTAAAATATACACTCGCACTCATTCCTGTCTTTTGACAGGATTACTGCAGAAGGTTAGACACACTCTGCCAAAGCCATCCCACAACCAGAAGTTTTCAACTGGCCTCATTCATTCTCCATGCATTCATCCATGGTTTCCCACAGAGCCTTAGGGTTCCCGAAAATAAGTAAATAAGTAGATAGCCCCCTGAAACAGAAGGTATTTCTGGAAGAGAAAACACCTTCTAGCTGTAATATGCGGAATCTTGGTGTTAGAAGACCTAAGTTGGAGCAGCAGGCCCTTCACTTTAGTAGCAGTTTGAAAATGTTTCATGATTTTTCTCACGGCTCAGTTTCTGTAAGCTGCAGGATACCTGCTTCTGTAACCAGTTGATGTACAAATGTTTTGTGCCTGTGGTGAGCTGTCTCAGTATTACTTAATTGCTCTATCTTCATCAGCATGTCGGACAGCTGCCCAAGAGACAGGAACTATGAGAAGCTGGCCCAGGACATTGCTTTGAGTGACTCCTTCCAGAAGGTTAACTACATCCATTCAAGTTACTCAAGGACTTTCATGGTTTGTGGTGCTGTGGGTCTCTTTTCAGTAGCATCTGCTCTGAGAGGAGACACACTATGAACTTCAGCACATGGATAAACATCCACTTGGATGTTTATCATGACATGGTGATTCATATTAAAAAAGGAATGTTTTAAAACATATTTGACTATGAATTTTGTTATTCAGAATGTAACAAATGCTAATTATACAGACAATCCAGGAAGACATTAAATATAGATTTTTAAAACTCTAGTTTTCTTACCATGTCTGGGAAATATTTATGGATGGAGGGCAATTTAAAAGATATTTTAAAAAAACAACTTTTTCTGTCTAAATTAGATAATATTATCTCTGGGATCATCTGAAGTAAATCTATTTACCCAAACTTATTTATTCCTTTTATTTTCTTTTTCAAGTTAAACTGACCGATGTTTTTCTCCAGGATATTATCTATTCTTTAAAGGAATGATTAGACAAATAATTACTTACCATTTGCCTGTTGTTACTTTGTTAACTCAGTTCACTTATTTTTAGCTTGGTGGTTTTGATTTTAAAATAGTGTCTGATAGAGTATGTAGCCATTTCTTTTTACAGCACTTTCATCTTCTTCAATGCTGCTTTCTACCCAGTAACCACAGTCACAATTCTGCCATCCATGCGTGGGGCCCTGTTCTTTTCTGGTAAAACCCATCCCATCCACCAGTTGCTATGGCAACATAACTTCTACTATAACATCCTGACCCAAGCAGGCTTTTGTGACAATAGACTTCTTTGTCTATCAGGTGCCCATGTCAGGAAATCAGAAGATTTTCTCAAATGGAAACAAGCAAACATAACATACACTCACAATTTGCCTCAACACTCTCTCTCTCTCTCTCTCTCTCTCTCTCTCCTCTCTCCTCTCTCCTCTCTCTCTCTCTCTCTCCCCGTCCTCTCTCCTCTCTCCTCTCTCTCTCTCTCTCTCTCTCTCTCTCTCTCTCTCTCTCTCACACACACACACACACACACACACATTCCTTTAAATCTCTGTGCCCTTTGAGCACATGCCTGGAATGTTTTGTAAGGTATCAACAATTATTAACTAGAATACAAATTACCTTCTTGGTATTTAAAATAATGCCCCATCTGGTTTTATTTATTGTTGTCAACAAATAATTCTTCAGAAGAATTTTTCCAGTAGTGGGCTTTGAACTCAGGGCTTTGAGCCTTCCAGGCAAGTGCCCTACTACTTGAGCCACACCCTCAGCCCCTTTTGCTTTAGTTCTTCAGATAATAGCTTCTGTTTTTGCCTAGGCTGGCCTCAGACCAAGATATTCTTATCTATATTTCCTGTACAGCTATAGCTATAGACATGTACCACCCTGTGTGGCTTTTTGGTAAAGATAAAGGCCTATTGGCCTAAATCTGCATTCCTCCTGATCTCCAACTCCTAGTAGCTCAGATTACAGGTGCTCACCACCTTTTCTGGGCCTGAGCGGAGGACATTTTTGAGATTCTTTTCCCATCTCTCATTCTTTGTTTCTGGAAGGGGCTGCTAGAGGAGTTGTGGTAAGAAGACTCCTATCTACTTTGTATCATTATTGTGTTATTCTGGGAAAAATTACCTCAGATCAAGATTGTTTACATTTATTAGATAGACACCTGGGGGAGGCTAATAAATATTTAATTATAAGAAAGCAAAAACATTGTCCAAACAGGTTTTCATTCATATTTTAAGTGCTTGATCCAATTCAAGTAGAAAAGATACTTGAGCACTATTGGCTCTTCCCTTCCGGCATTTCAAACAGCTTAATGATGGAGCACATTGACATTAGGTGTGTGTTCTTGGTTACTTTAGTTGGATGCACCTGTAGGTCAAAGTTGGGATAAAGAAATGATGTGGGATGGAGATTGTCTTTTTCTACTCCAGAAATCCTATTTTTGCTAGATAACTTGTCGTTGAACACATATATATGTATATATGCATCTATATGCATATATACAAATATATACATATATAAATATATGTGTACACACTAATAATAATAATAATATGCTGATGTCCTGGCTGAAACCACTAGGTGGCAATCATGTCCTGTCATAGAACCTTGTTCATTACTTTCAGAAAAGCCAAGAGTGGCTGCTGGTGTAGCTCCCCGCAGCGCACCCCCCCCCCCCAAAAACAAAAAGAACTGGAAATTAAAGGCAGGGGAAGGCAGAAATGCCCTAGCATCGTTAATTGGTCTACCTTCATAGAAGCTCAGCCATTATCATTGCTTTAAGCTTTAAATTTCAATCCAGAATTTCTTTCTGCAAGCTAGATAAAACTCAGTTCACACAAATGCAGGCTATATTGCATAATTTCTGCTGGATTGTGGAACTTGCTTGAGGACTTGGCTTTATTTAATTGTCTTACCCATTTGAGAAAGTATATATGAAAGTACCTTTCATATAAACAAAACTACTTAAGAGTCAAGCTAATATATAAGATATTTTCTTTAAAGCTGTAAGCAGTGTTGCAAGATATAATTCAATATATGAAAAGTTTTCATTTTCAAATTTATTGTTTGCTCTTAGTACCAATGAAAATTACACATTATTTTTCTTTACTAATTTTAATTTGTTCTCTCTCAAAGAATAGTAATATAATCATGTTCTAATTTGACATCATTTATATCCTAAACATAATGTCTTGTAAACTACTTCTTTTTTGCTTATAATTTTCTGAAGTTTTTTATGAATCACCAGGGGATATTTGCACATTTAAAAACTAGGTTTCAATTCTCCAAATAATGTTGAAATTAGCGATTCCAAAAGCAAACAATATGGATACAACAAGTAGAGGAATGAGCTAGAGAAGTCTCAGGATTATTCAGAACAATCTAGGATAAAATTATAGATTGATGTCTGGGAAATATGTGATCAGTTTCAAGTCCAATACAAACAAGAAATTTTATAATGGCTTGACTAATCAGCACTATGGAAATGTTAAACTTGAGTTCTCAGCATTTCTTTGAAACTTCTTGTATATTTGATTGAACTTGTAAACATCCTGAGAGACTATTCTTTGCAGTTACCCTAAAATTTCTGGCCCTGCCTTAACATCTATCCCTGCTCAAAAATTATTTAACTTGGAATTTCACTAGACATTTATCATTTGTAAAATTTTATAAATTTTTGTTCTGACTCCCAAAAGGACTGTTTTTAAGTATATTGTCACTACTAA